GCGCAGTAACAGCATCTCCCGCCGTACTCCGCCCACGTACTACAACTCCCGGCAGGCTCCGCGCAGGCCGCGGCCGGCGTCGTCGCGGTCTGCTGTCGTGGCGCAGCAGCGCGGGGAATTTCGAGTGGCGGTGGAGCGCGGGAGGCCAGTGGGCTGAGGAGCCCCCAGCGTCCTTTGGAGAGGCCATGGACTCCCTAGTCGAGCCTCGGTGGCCTCCGGGCCTGGAAGTCATGAAGGTGAGAGCTTCGGGGAGGTTGGGGGCGCCCGGGTGTCAGCCGGCGGCCAGCCCCGTCGTGAGAGGACCAGGCGCGAGCGGCCAACTTGGGCCGGGTGCCCGGCTCCGCTCTGCCATTTGCCCTCTGCGGGGCTCTGGGCCTCAGTTTCCTGGGGACAGGCCTCGGCCCCTTTTGGTGAGCTGAGGTTGGCGGTCTCAAGGAACCGGGCATGCTGCCTGCAGTTCAGCCACAGCAATAGCTGTGACCTCCAGAAAATGGTTACGCTCAACAGTGAAAACCACCGCGACCGCTCACGCTTCGCGGGGGTTTGCTATGTGCTCAGCATTATGTAAACTCTCGCAGGATCTTAGTTGAGAATTTCCCAAGTGACACTCGACATGATTTTGGGTAGACCTTGCATCAAGAACCATTTACTTAATCACGTAGCGAAGCAGCTGGCCCCTTTTACATTCTCTTTAATTTGTTCTAATTACCCTCAAGAAGCCTAGTTCTGGTTTACCCTGACTCCTTCCTCATGCGTCTTAACTCCTAACAGTTGTGCACGTCTCTCTTTTCAACAGAGAGATCGGGACTCAGGCTCGGTACCAGCCAGCCTTTCATTTAATTGAATTATTTCGCTTAAATGGCATTGATTTTGTGGCTACCTGGTTTTTGCCAAGGCGTTTCAGTCTCTGCTTACAGTAGTGGTGAGCCCAGGATTCCTGATGTATTTGGTCAAGAGCAAATACATTTTGCTGTGCTAACTAAGAATCTGTCACTTGGTTTTTCTGTTTGTGGGCAAGGTCACTTTCTCGTGCTCTTCCTCAGCTTTATAAACTTGGGGATTACGGTATCTGCCCCCCTGACTCTTAAGGCTGACTCTGAGAATTACTCGAAGGGACTTGTGGGAGGTTAAAGTAAGTGTGAGCCTTATTCTTCCTGTCATCATCTGTGTCATCCCCATGGTGAATGCTGGCATTGTGGAAAGGACCCAGGAAGCTGTGGTTTTGAAGTTGTGGTGGCCTTGGCACCAGGGTACAGTGGAGAAGAGCATAGATTTGAATTCTGATGATCTTGGGTCAAATCTGGCCTCTGCTTCTCATTTAACTGTGTGACCTTGAGTTAGTTACTAAAAACTCTGAGCCTGAACTTCCTCAACTATAAACTGGAGGCAAAAACAAACAGTTTATAAGGTTGGTTAAATGAGTTGATGTGTGTGATAGGGATCCTGTCTGACTTACTCACTGTACTTAATGTGTGGTGCATAGTGGGTGCTCAAAATTATTTGCCAGTTGATTGAAGGTATCTGGAAGTTTAGCATTCAGTTGATTATCTTATTATTAGCACTTAACGTATGTTAACTTTTCAACCCCTTTTTATTTATTGTTGTGAAGATTGAATTAGATAAAGGAAGTGAAAGCTCTGTAATTTGCAAAGCTACCTGTTTGTAGATTTAAGCATATTTTATATATTACTACAACTTCCACAGTGTTCTTTAGAGGCAGGTTCCCTGTCTTCTGTGGCTTTGCTGTTGAACCACAGCACTGAATTGAGGGTGTTCAGTGATAGACTTGATTGAGCCCATGTTAGAGTCGTGAAATCTTAAGGTTGGGAATCCCTATTTTAATCCCTTTTATAATGTATTCTGCCAATTTCTTATCTCGTTTTTGCTTGAACTCCTCCAGGGACAAAGAATGAGCTGCTCCCAGAAGTAGCTCTTTTTGAAGTTCTTTCTTATATTGAATCTAGGATCCATGGAAAGACTTTGGTAACTGGATTATTTATAAAATTTTTGTCCGTATGTGTTCTTTTCTGAGAAGAGAGCCCATGGTTTTAATATATTCTTCAAAGGGATCTGCGACCCCAAAAAGTTAAGAACCTTTGCTCTGATTATTGTCTTTTCACCAATTCTCTAATTCCCCCTTCTACTTTCACTAAGTTAAAGAAATCCTGGGATATCCATTTGACTATTCTCTATTTGGGTCAAGGCACATGTGGTGTGCATGCTACTCACTTGAAATGGCATGACTGGAAATTCATACAAGAATGTTACAGTTTGTTTGATGTGGTGTCACCTTTCACAGATCTTGCTCAGCAGACCTGTCCGAACAACAACTCCACTAAAAGAGGCTGGTTATATAGAAGAAAGTACAGTAGACTAGATGCCAGGGCTCTGTCTTCCAGTTCTGCCTCTGCTCTTAATCCATTTTCAACACAATCCTTTTTTGTGTCAGTGGTAGCTTACCATAAAAAAATAATGGAAGATTTTGGTATCTTAATGTTTATTTCCCTGGTTTAACCATAACAAGAATTTCTGGCTTTAACAGGTTATAAATGTATATGTATACAGTAGAAAAAAAAAGTCAGGGTAAGAGAAAGGAATAAATGAGAGTTACCCATCATCCTATCATCTGACAATAACTACTGTTTTACCTTTTCTCTTATTTTCCTTCAGTTACCTTGTGTGTGCTCATGCCCACACATGCCCACAGTGTGTATATGTATTTAAAATTTGGGATCAATTTGGAGTCAACTTCTTGGGTTTGATCCAACCACTTTTTAAGCTTTATAGTCTTAGTCTGCAAAACGGGGATACATATGCTATAGACTTCCTAGGATTGCTATGGAGATTAAACTACATGGTTCTGTTATTACGTAGTATTGTTGTAGGTTTGTTCTCTGATTTTTTTTTTAAAGTTTCCATTAAAAAACGAACACTTTCCTATGGCATTTTTCTTTGGAAGCAGGTTTTTTTGTGTGTGTTTTTTTTAATGACTACATAACATTTCATCATACGGATTATTAGTGACAGTCTTTTTTTTGTTTATGTTTTAAAAATTTAGGTAATATGCTTACATGGTTCAAAAAAATACATGAAGTGAAAAGTCAAAGTCCGCCTCCCGCTTTGCCCCTCTTTTATCCAGTTTCCTAACCTCTGCGGGCACTATTTACTCCTTTCTTGCGTGTCTTTCTATAATTTCCTCATGCCTATCTACAGGGTGAAAATAGGGTGGTTTTGCTCTCTCTCAAGCAGAAGGGAGCGTGCCGCTTGCACTGTCTCACTTCGCTTCTCTTGGCAACCTTTCCTTACCAGGGCATAGCAGCGCTCCCTCTTTTTTGTCTTCTCTTAACTATCTTCTCAGTGTTTTATTGAAAGGAATAACATTTTATTTTAAATGATGTCAAGATTTTGGGTTGCAAGAATAGGTCATTTCCTGTTCGCTTGCATTCCGACTCTTCACCCCCCTCTGCTGTCCCTGGCCCCAGTCTTCCCAGGGCTCCCTCATTTTGCTGCACTGTAGAACCCTGCGGAAGCCAGCAGGAGACAGGAAGCTTAGCCCTGGCTGGACTCATGCCCCATATGTGTTCCTGCCCTGGGTACAAGTTTCCTCACTTGTGAAGTAAGGGGTTTAACTAGATAATTTCTGGTGTTTGGCTTTTATATTCTCTGATTTGTTTTTTAACCTGTGTGCTGACTGGCTACTGGTACCTTTCCCCTGGCAGTGACTAGGCCAGGAGATGGGGCCTGAAGAGGAGGCGGTTTGGAGTACAAATGGGAAGCACTTGGGAAGTGGAGCAGGAGTAGAGTAGTCCTTTTGTGAAAGGGTGACGATATTGCATAGGAATCTGTACACTGTTAGCTTTATTTGTCTAAAGTGTCTTGGGGCCCGGCCGGGCATGGCTCAGCGGTTGAGCGTCGACCTAGGATCCAGGCGATGGGGGTTTGATTCCCGCTCAGGGCACATGCCTGGTTGTGGGCTTGATCAGTGACTTTCTTATCTTTGATGTTTCTGTCTCTCTCTCTCCCCCTCCTTTCCTCTCTCTGAAGTCAATAAAGATATATTTTAAAGTGTCTTGGGTAACCTGAGATTTGAATATGTGAGTCACTTGGGGGAAGTTTTTCTGTTTGTTAAGATCCCCTGCAGTTTGTTTATGTGGAGTTTGCATATTTGACAAAGAAGTATTATTAAATTATTTTTTTAGGGGATGGAGAAAGAGTTCTGTGCCAGACTTCCCAGTCTTGGTGTCTCTCTGATATATATATGTGTGTGTGTTTGCATTGCAGACAGTAGATGACTTGCTGCGGTGTGGCATTTGCTTTGAGTATTTCAACATTGCCATGATGATTCCTCAGTGTTCACATAACTGTAAGTATGCACTGCTTCTTCGAATTAGTAAAAATGTGATTTTTATATAAGGTAGTATTAATTTAACACACATTTATTTCTCACTTTTAGCTCCATCTTTAAGTTTTCAGAAGGTCTTTTTCTACCACTTCCTCTTGAGTATTGAAGGATTTACAAAGCCGCCTATATTTTCTACCACCTCCCTCTTGGATGTTTTTATGCTTTTTATGACATTTATGGCAATAAAGATTTTGGTCACAATATATGTATGGTTCTTTATTTGCCAAGCACTTTTAGGTGTTAAATTTCAGAATTTTTGTTTTTAGCAGGATAGCAGATAGGTGGTTCAACTAAGTAGTAGTTTGTGTAGAGTTTCAAAGTTTAAAAATCCCAGTGAGAGAATTCTGCCACTGAAGAGGTATTACAGCTTTACCACTTGCTTTGTGATGCTGGACAGACTCTTATATTGGAATCTGCTTGCACTTCTCTTTATGAGTCTAGTAAGTATTTTTTATACTTGAGGCATTTAACACATAGGGGTGAGCCTGGACTGTTCAGAAGCTGGCTATCCAGTTTATGGATTACCTAAGTTTGTTATTTTTCCTCTATTTTCAAGTTGATTTGTCTTGGAAAGTTAAAAAAAAAACCAAACCAGCAAGTTTGATTTTAAAAAATGATTTTAGTGGATAGTAAGCTTTGGTGGAAACATTTCTATGGAGAAGACAGGGAATGGTCGTGGTAGCATCACGGGCATTAGAGATATACTTAGGCTTGACTCTTGACTCCCACTTACTAGGTTGATGAGTTTGCAAATGCCCAACATTTCTTCAAAGGTAAAAGTCTGGTGAGCATTTTCTACCTTAGAAGATGGTTGTGAGAATTAAATTTGCAGAGCCCAGTGTCTGGCACATTATAGGCCCTTATTAAATGTTAGTTCCCTTTCCTAGGCCAGATTCACATTAATAACCAAGATAAGTTTTGGGGATTATTTCTAAATATGTGTCTTTATTTAGGTATAATTTACATAAAATACATCCATTTTAAGTGCATAGTAAAGCGTACAGGTGTTAGTGAGTTTTGACAAATGCGTATACCGTGTAACCACTACATTAAGCTGCTGAACATTTCTATCACCTGATTGAGTTTTCCTCATCTTAGTCAGTAGGGCTGCAGGCAATCATGTGTGGGCCTGTTTCTGGACTCTTCTATTCCATTGATCTACATGTCTGTTTTTGTGCCAATACCACCTTATCTTAATTTTTGTAACTTTTAGTAAGCCTTGAAGTCAGGCATTGTAAGTATTCCAGCTTTGTTTTTCTTTATTCAAATTATTTGGGTTTCTAGTATCTTTGCATTTTATTTATTATTATTTTTTTTTGATCCTCACTTGAGGATATTTTTTTCATTGCTTTTCAGAGAGAGTGGAAGGAAGAGAGGGAGAGAAACATCAGTGTAAGAGAGACACATTGATTGGTTGCCTCCTGCAGTCGCCCCAGCCAGGGCCAGGGATTGAACCTGTAACCCAGGTATGTTCCCTTTACCAGGAATCGAACCGCAGTGCTCAGGTTGATGCTCTAACCATTGAGTCGCACCAGCCAAGGCTAATTACCACTGTTTTAAAGAGGGACCAACAATCATTTTTATTTTCCTTTTGTGGATTTTGACTCACAAAATTAATTGAGGCCTGTGTTGAAATATAAAGCACCTTAATTTCATTTTTAAAAGTGAGATAGATATGAAGTTTTCCATTTAGTGACCTTTGCTAAATTAAGAGACGGTATACTATTCTTTTAGGCAAATAATGTGTTTTTCTCTTATATGCTCAGGAGGCAGCAGTGTGGAACAAGGCAGGGAAGAGAGATAGCTATACACACAGAAGGGACATAGAATTATTCAGAGCTGCACTGTGGAAGTGCTGGAGTGCTGGTTGTTGGAAGGATAGTCTCTCTTCTCAGCTAACTGGTCACTTAGCACTGGAACCAGAGGTAGAGGCCAGCCTTCTGAGCTTTCCAGGACCTGGATTTTTTGCTTTAGCTGGACACTTCAGAATTATTTTTGAAATGATTGACTTTCTCATAAAATCCTTAAAATCACACATAAAAAGGGTTGGTTTAAGTTTTAGAAATTTGCTTTTTTACTGCTAGGATACTGGGCTCTTGATATTTGAAAGCCAGCAGGTAGCTGTACCCTGTTTATGATTAGAAATGCCTCCTCTCTCAAGGCTTGGATATTTCTGTGAAGCTACCCTTTTTGTCATTGTTTAATTCTACCCTCCCTCCTCACACTGCTCATATTTGGGCTCTTGGGTGGAAAAACAAATTTCACAGGCAATTTAAATAAAGCCACCTAGGAATACATGGGTCTAGAGCTCTTTTAACTGCTCTGATTGAATGGAATAATATGGTTGCTTACTAGGGAATAAATTATGTTGGTCTGCAGTTCCCGGTACATATTTGGTAGTAGACTGAAATTAAGCCAAGGGCTTGATCTACTTTGGATTAACATCTGGTTCTTCATATTTCAAAACAAAACACTCAAGATTATACAAAAGAGAGAGCATTAGCCTCATTATACATACTCTGGTACCTATGATCATATTAATTACATATTAAGTAACTATAATAAACACATTTTATAAATAAATTATAAATATTTAGAATAATTAATTAGAATTATGTTAAGAACATGAGCTCTGTTACTTGCCTTTGTTACTTATTAGCTCTGTGATCTTGGGCAAGTTGGCCAACTCCTGGGCAGTATTTTCCTTCTTGTAAAATGGAACTAATATTAATAACAACCTGAGGGGTGCTGTAAGGATCAAAAGAGTTAATACATGTAATGTGCTTAAAACAGCACACAGTAAGTATACAGTATTATGTTAAGCACGAGAAATTGCCAGTGTTTGTCTTTTTTTTTACATTTCCAAAATGATTTTCATATGGTTTAACCTAATAGCAAAAACATACTAAGTTTTTTAAAAGAACAGTAATATTGTTGTTCAGTCAGAATCACATATGAATGTGATTTACTGACCAAAATCCAATGAATCAGTATGACTTGGGTTAGGGCCTTGGAAACTATATTAAAATCAACAGTAATCTGCCCAGGTGACTCAGATGAGCAGCCAGGTTTGGGAATTCTTGACTTATGCTAATGCTCAGGAGACTTCTTGTTGTTTGAAGAGAGTAACTGATAGTCAAGCGCACGAGTCTGGAGTGGAATTTTGCCTCAGAATGAATCAGGATGCTGGGCTCTTTTGGTATTTGAAAGCCAGCAGGTAGCTGTATCCTGTTTGAGATTAGAAATTCCTCCTCCCCCCAAGGCTTGGATGTTTCTGTGAAGCTGCTCTTTTTGTCATTGTTTTAGTCTACCCTCCCCTCCTCACACTGCTCATAGTTGGGTGGAAAAGCAAACTTAAGGCGATTTAAATAAAGCCACCTAAGGATACACGTTTCATCCATATCTGATTTTGGTGATATATAGATGGGACTTTGGACTTTAGAGTTGATGCTGGAATGAGTTGAGACTTTTGGGGCTGGTGAGATGGGATGGGTGTGTTTTCCATGGGAGGACATGGATTTTTGAGGGCAAGTGGTGGAATGTATGGACTGAATTGTATTTCCCCCAAATTCGTATGTTGAAGCTGTAATTCCCACAGTGATGGTATTTGGAGATGGGACTTTTGGGAGATAATGTGCTTACATTACCCATCTGTTCTTGGCTGCTTGTCTGCTTTGTTCATTGAAGCCTTTAGCATATTAATCACAGTTGCTTTAAATTCCTGGTCTGATAATCCCAATATCCCTGCTGTATTTGACTCTGATTCTCATGCTTTCTTCAGACTGTTTTTTTGCCTTTTGGTATGCCTTACAATTTTTTCCTAATAGTGGGATATGGTGTACGAGGTAAAAGGAGCTGCAGTAAATAGGCCTTTAGTAATGTGGTGAGGTGTGGGGTGTGGTGAGGTTTGTTCTGTAGTCCTATGATTAGGTCTCAGCCTTTTTAGTTGGCCTGTGCCCTTGGACTGTGCCTTTTCAGGTCCACGCACCCCCCCCCACCCCAACTTCCCCAGTTGGACAGAACAGCTAGAAGAAGCTGGAATTAGTTGTTTCCCTTCCCCCAGGTCAGCTGGGCTCTGATAAAACCCTAACAGAATAGGCCCTGGTAGAATAGTTTCTCTTGAGGGCAGGCTTTGTCAAGAAGAGCACAATGCTCCAGTGTATTTCAAAATTATTACTTTCCCCTCCTCCTGCAGAAGGACTGGGGGATTTTTGTCTGATAGTCACTTTGAAAACCTGGTAGAACTCATAGTTAAAACTCACATCCTGTGAGTGCCCCCGCTCAATGTCTGTTGCCTTGGAGTTTTTAAACTCAGACTGTCCACACTCAACCTCCAGCAATTTTTCAGTTACAGTCCAGGTTTTCCTGCCTCTGCTCTGGTTCCAGCGGAGGCTTCCCTGATTCCCATGCAAGGTTCTGGTCCTGGGTTTCTACTCTGGAAGCCGTGACTCCATATCCAGCCTGTCTGCCTCTCCAATTTGGGGGGCAGTGGTTTGCCCTCTGACTTCACTTCTCTGATGGATCTAAGAAGAGTTGTTGATTTTTTAGTTTGTATAGCCTTTTTCTTGTTGTTACGTAGAATGATGACTTCTAAGCTCCTTACATACCAGACCAGAAATCAGAAGTCCCTTTTGCTCGCAAAGAACTTAACTCTGCTGGTTTTATCTTTTTTATAAGTTCTTTTGTTTTTCCTCCTGGGTGCTCATACTGAGGGTGGCACAACTTGTTCATTTACTGGATATCAGTATCTGAAGTCATACTGTCTCCTCCTCCTTTCACTAAACTGAACCCTTTTTTTAATGAAGCCCCTTCACTGGCAGAATTTGGGCTAATAGCACATTGCCTACCAGTAAGGTACCATTCTATTAGTCATACCTATTTTTTCTTTGGGAGACCATTTTGCACCGTCGTGGGTGTGAAGAATTTAGTTAATGGTGATTTCCTGCTTAAGTGGTTGGGACTTATTGCACTGTAATTGCTTCACTATTTTGTTAGTTCCTTGAGGTCAAGAACTTTGCATTATATATTGTTCTGTTCTTAGTGTTTGCCACATAGTACTTGTTAAATGTGGGGTGATGGACATCATTTATAGAGTTAAAATTATTTCAAAATTTATATTTTAGAATGTTAGTAGAGATATCTGATGTGTTTATACAGTTTCCATCCTGGGTCTTGCATGTATGTTTCCTTCATTTTACAGATGGAGGATGTGGAGAGTGATGCATGTTGCTTAGGGAGGTGTGATGTCCTGGGGACCCAGGATTATTATTTGATATGTTTTTCTCTCCTAAAAATGCTATTTTGTCACATTTGCAAAAGTGCATAGGTAGAGTAGAGGTACTAGAATTTTGAAATTATAATGATATACTTTAGATGATGGAAATACCCTACAGCTTAAGTCACGTTCTATTAGAAGTCAGAGTCCTATATTATTAATGCAGCTTAACTGATTTATGTTGCATTCATGTTTTTGCAGATTGTTCTCTCTGTATAAGAAAATTTTTGTCCTATAAAACACAGTGTCCAACTTGTTGTGTGGTGAGTTCTTTCTTTTTTTGTTTTAAAAATACTTATTCTTTGGTGCAGATATTTCTGCTTCATGTGTACACAAAAGCCCCAAGGGAAGATGTGTAATTATTGAGTTAAGCTATATAAAAGACATTTTCAGAAAGGACCTCTAAAACACATAATTGGAGAACTGGGCTTCGTTCACGTTTTTATGGGGATTTCTGATAACCTAAATGCATTTTAGGAGGAAAAACTAATTTTAAGATCAGAATGTAGTGCTCATAAAATCCTAAGACCCGTGTTTTTATGGTTTTTCGCTTTTTATTCTCACATTGGGTAGAAAATCTGATGGTAGGATTATTTACTTGCAAGTGCCTGGTGTAAGTATTTGTGCTGAAGGCAAAGATTCCTGGCCATTGGGCTGAACCCAGCCTAACTGGTCCCTTACCTTTTTCCCAAAACAAGCCTTCAGGGACAGCACTAGGAAATTTGTTGTTAGTGGTTTCTGAAGCTTTTCAAGTAGTGGAAATAGATGAAAAGGTAGGTTAAAAGGGAAAGTAAACATACGTAGGAATAAAGAAAGAAGTAAAAGAGACAGTAAAGTAACAGAAAGGACACTTAGACTAGTTAAAGGGTTTGAGTTCTGATGCCTCTGGTAGGTGCATGGTATGAGGATGTCATTGAACTTCTCTGAGCTATTATGTAAAAACCCTGTGTAAGAAATGACAGTTTGGTTCTTGAGTCTAAGCTCTTACAACTTCAGGCACACTGTCTTTGTCAAGGTGGTGTCTCCACGGAGATGAATTGTATACCATTTATGCTACATAACTACTGGATTTACCATGTTCCTATTGCATTCCTGAAAACCAATCTTGTTTTTAAGCTCTCTTTGGACACCTAATGCCTCTCCCAGTATTCACTTAAAGGAGCCTCTCTTCTGTCTTCAGGAGAAATTTTTGGCAAAGCTGAGTGCTGGCATTCTTGCTCATAATTAGGTTTTACCTTAGTACAGAGTATATATGATTTTACCACATGCTTTGGAAAGCTTTTCTCAGACTTCCAGTTGGCTGATAGTGATTCAGTGTCTTTAAATGCCATATTAGTATGAGACAAATAAACTTTATTTTGAGGCTTTCCTGGAAGACTAAATGGGATGGGGAGTCTTAAGAGGATGGGTCACACATTTGCAAAAACAAAACTATGACAAGTAAATTATTGTTTTCATCTGTTGTTTTTCTTTTCTAGACAGTCACAGAGCCAGACCTGAAAAATAACCGCGTATTAGATGAACTGGTAAAAAGCTTGAATTTTGCACGGTATGATTTAATTTTGTGACTAACCACTAACTACTTTTGTCTTTTATATGTGTTCCCTCTTTACTCTGCACTTTTGGGGATTAGGTAATGCAGGGTTGCATATTTGGGGTAAAGAAGGGAAGCAGCAACAGTTATTAATCACACATGGACAATTCAGTGGTAATGGGATTTTCTCCCTTTACTTAACAGAAATCTACCTGTTATGAAAAACAAGAGTTAAAATGCAGATTTGAGCATGCGCTTACTTTTGGGTACTACAAAGATACTCCAGCTTTAATTTTTATTTTTCCTGCCCCAGCTTTAGAGTCAACCATTTTCCCAAGAAGCCCTAGTTCCTTTTATTGGAAAATGGTGTTTAGAAATTAGGATCCGGAATGGGCTGTGTGCTTTGTTACTGGGGTATTATTGCTTCTAGGCCCTCTCTGTGGACAGAGATGGGGGGCATGTGCATGTATATTTATGTGTTTACTAATCCATGTATACACATACATCTATAATTGTTTCTGTGTCCATTATGTATTAATCCATTCAGTCTTAACCTGATTTACTTAGCATGTATAAAAGACATGATGTACCACTTGAAATATGTAGTAGCCACTTTTTTAAACTCAGAAATGTAGCTTTTCTTTTTACCTGTCAAATGCATGATGGTGAAGGTTGAGTGGTCACCCAAAGGGATATAAAAAGTCATGTTTTACCAAACGGTATCTTGAATTATTTTTCATCATGCAAGTCAAGCAGGAATTTTTATTAGGAATATACTGTGTTTAGTTAATGGTTAGGTGTCCAGGTACTTAAGTGTATAACTTCCAGGCTTTTTGGAGCATTCTTGGAGGTACATTACATTGCTTCTAGAAGTGTAAAGAGACTTGTTCCAATAGAGCTGCACAGTTACTGATCCTAAAAAATGATCAAATGTAGTATTCTGAACTTACCTAATATGACATTCTATAAATTGGCTGGTCAGTTATTTCCTGATGTAAAGTCATAAAAAGTTGGTATGCTTTCCTAAATTAAGAAACTGAGATTCTCTGATTCTCATAATTAAATTTATTGCTTTTTTTATTTTAAAAGTCTTAACACCAGTTAGTCTTTCAGTCAGTTAGATTTTGAAGTCTTGAAAAAAGATGGGGTCATGTCTTTGGAAAGAAACAGTAAAACTGTATCTCAAGGCTTATTTTTTTTCTTCAGGTGGTACTGAAAACATAACCTCCCTGCTAGGAAAAAGGGAGTGTTACAAAGAATAGCATCTGTTTCTGGAAGAGAAGCAATCAGTATCTTTGGGTTCACTGACCTTTTGGTAACTTAAAGGGAGGCCTTGGAATGATTGAACTCTCCCCTTCCTCCCTCCCTCCTAAAAGGAATGGGCTATTTGATTGTTCATTACAGTGGGGGGTGGAGGGGTGGAGTGGGAAGTGTTCTCTGTATACTTGGGGTGGATTTTATCATTTGCTTCTCCCTTTGTTTGCCTTCTTGGAATTGCCTTATGGTAAACATGCCTTGACATTTGTCATGTCTAAAGTGCTGTGTTATCTCATTTGCAAAATTAGGAATGAAATTCAAGCTAATCAATTTCATTACTTGTTTAAAATCCAGTTTGAGATTGACGAGGGAAGAGTTTTAATTTTATGACAAAATGGAAGATATTTATATTGTTTGTTGATTTTGTTTCTTCCTGTCTTTTCATTGCCATTTTATGACATGATTTTTAAAACTTGAATACTCTAAATGGAATAACAAAAGGGTATTGGAAATAATTCTAGAGGTTTTCAGACATAGGCTGACATGCACGTCTTACATTTTCTTCTAACTTTTGCCTTTTGTTTTTAAAGAACAATGTTGTTTTTTTCTCGACTCAGTCTTTTTTAAAATAATGTTCGTAAGAAACTGTAGTGTCAAAACAAAATTTAATTAAAATATGTTTGTCTTAGTGGATGTCATTCTTGATCTAAGTAAGAAAATATTGTTTCTGTATTTTTATAGCAGCCAGTCTACATCTCTGTCATTACTTTTATGACTTGAGAGTGCAGAGCATAATTTAATACTTTGGTTTGTTCACCATTGAAGTATGAATCTTTCTCCGTGTATTTATTCCACATTTAAGAAGTTAAACATTTTAGATCATTGTAATAGATAATTCCCTTAGTACTTCACAAGAGTATGGAGAATATAATTTCACCTTTTCTTATGGTATAGTTTAAAGCATACTGGCTTCAGATTCAGGCAGAAGTAGCTTCCAGTCTTGGCCCTCCTAGTTCTGATGTGAATGTGATCAAGATGTTAAACATCTTTGGCCTCTGTTCCACATCTGAAAAATGGGAACAATATTGTTGATACATTGAGGGATTGTTGTAAGGATTAGAAATGAAGAGTTATACTAAAAGATACCCAGTATAATACCTGGAACAAAGGAACCTACAAACAGATCCCTATTATCATTATCATATATTTTATCTATATTTATATCTTGCTGCCCTATTATATGTTGATGCCCTAAGGTACTATAAGAATTTGTGCTTCGGTGGGCCTCTGCTGGTTTAACCAAATGTCCTAGGTTGCTGTTTGCATGTTTCAGATCAGAACAAGCACTTGCAGGGAGTTTCACTAGTTGCTGAAGTCCATGGACTTGAGGGCATGGATTTTAGGTCTGCCCCCGTCCACCCAGACACCTATTTTGACTCTTGAGTCTTCTTAGCTGCATTCTGAAGAGGTAAGGTTATTGTAGAGCTAACCAATGGGCAAGATTTAATGTTCTAAAGTCCATAATTTGCCCCCTAAAATATATGCATGTTTATGATAAATGCCTTTAGGCATTGTAATACCAACTCACTTTAATATACATTCATAGAGTGATGGAAATTATAGGAAAAATTACCAATTTAATTTAACTCTAAATATCAATTTTGGATTAATGTTTTTACATAACTCATTTAAAAATATTTTTAAAAGCTTTACTGAGATATAATTAACATACAATAAGCTGTACATATTTAAAGTGTACAATTGAGTAAGCCTTGACATGTGTTCATATGAAATTAACACAACCAAGGTAATGAACCTACCCATCACTCACAAGTTTCTTTGTGCCTCTTTGTGATCCCCTCTCCTGACCCTTACAACTCTGTCCCCAAGTAAACACTAATCTGCTGTAAACACTATAGTTTGCATTTTCTAGGGTTTTATAAAAATAGAATCACATATCATAATTTTGTATATGTTGCAAGGTATCTACTGTCCATTTGTTCTTTGTTTTGAAAATATTATTCCTCCTTTTCTGCCCTTTTGTTGATATTATTTTTATTATTTTATCTCCTTTGTTAGTATTTGCATTATACTTCTTAGTGTCACTTAAGTGATTGCCCAAGAAATTAACATATTATAGTGTACCACAAATTAGTACTCTTATCATGTCATGAACAATGTGAGAATATTACATTTGCGTGATTTAATCCCCCCTTTTTGCTATGTTGTGAGAGATCTTATTTCCATACATGTTAAAAATCCCACAAGACGTTGTTAGTGTTGTTTTCAAAACAGTCAATAGTCTTGTACTTAGCCATATATTTACCTTTTCTGGAACTGTTGATTTTTGCTGATATGTTTGTGCTTTCATATAGAATTGTTTTCCTCCATCCTGAAGATTTCTTGTGGTATTTCTTGCCTACTGGTGAGGAATTTTCTTAGCTCTTATTTGCTTTAAAATGTCTTTATTTTTATTTCATTTTGGATGAATATTTGCAATGGAAATAGAATTCTTGGCAGTTTCATTTTTGTTCTGTACTTTAAAGATGCCATTCTATTATCTTTTTGCTTCCATAGTTCTATGAGTCTGTCTCTGTTTTGCTTGTTAGTTCATTTTGTTTATTAGATTCCACATATGAGTGAAATCATATGGTACTTCTCTTTCTCTGACTGGCTTATTTCACTTAGCATGATTCTCTTCAGGTCTATCCATGCTGTCTCAAAGGTTAAAATTTCCTTTTTTTTTTTATGGGCAAGTAGTATTCCATTGTGCAAATGTACCACAGCTTTTTTATCTACTCATCTATTGATGGGCACTTGGGCTGCTTCCAAATCTTGGCTATTGTAAATAATGCTGCAGTGAACTTAGATAGGGGTGCATGTATTCTTTTGAATTAGTGTTTTGGGTTTCTTGGGATATATTCCAGAACATTTGGGAATCACTGGGTCATAAGGCAGTTCCGTTTATTATTTTTTGAGGTAACTCCATACTGAGGAAGCAATGATATTTCTTACTGTTGTTCTCTTAGATCAGTGGTTCTTACCTGAGAGTGATTTTGCCTTCCTTTTAGCCCCTCCCCGAGGGAACGTTTGGTAATGTCTGCATGTATTTTGGTTTTCTCAACCTGTTTGGGAGGAAGGAATGCTACTGACATTTGGTGGGTGCTGTAGTTGCTCCTAAGCTTCTTACAATGCACAGAACAGTTCCTTTCAACAAGAAATTACCTGACTCGAAGTATCAATAGTGCCAAAATTGAGAAACTATGTTATTTTTTTGTAAGTTACTTGCAAGACTTACTCTTTATTTTTCATTTTTCAGCGGTTTGATTATGATAGGCCTTTGTCCTTCCTGGGGTGGATTTTAATTCCTTCTTACAGTACACTGTCTTTGTATCCATTTGTTTATGTTTTCATTTTTTTCCTTCAACACACTCGTCATGGTTACTTTGAAGCTGTTATCTTCTAATGCTCCTCTGGATGACTTCTGGGTCTGCTTCCATTGACAATTTTTTCCCTTGATTATTGGCTACTTTTCTTGCTTTGCATGTCTAGTAATTTTTAATTGTGTTAAACATTGTGGGTGAAAATATGATAGCGACTCTAAGTTACCTTTCTTTGAAAGATGCTGAATTTTGTTCTGATAGGCAGTTAAATTACCAGCTCTTCACTTTTATCTTGTCTGTGACTGGGTTAGTGTTTTGTTAGGTTTGGTCATTTTAGTTTTATTTATATTTCTAGGGAGTGGTCATTCTTCCTAAGGTGTGGCCTTCGTGGGCTTACAACTGAATGTCTGAGGTCTTGCACCAAGGTCTCTCAGCTTTGGCTGGGCTCAAACTCCCAACAGCTTTCTAGCACTGACCTTTGGAATCTCAGCTTCCCGGCATCTGTTTCCTGCCAGGTTTCCTGGTTTCGTCTTAGGCTTATGCAGCCTTGGAGATAATCAGGAATTGATAGATTTTCTAGGCAGACTTCTAGGGTTCCCTTTCCATGGCTGACCCCCATCCAGCATCCTGTCCCTCTAACCCTAGGCACCTTTTCCTAGAACTCTGGTCTCTGTTCCTTCTACCCAGTGAGATCACTGTTTTGATTTTAGGTTAATATACAACTCCCAGAAAATGCTTCTAGGGGAAATCCTTAGGGAAATATTGAATCACCTCATGTTTCTTTTCTCTCAGGGATCATAGCCTTATCTTGAGTATAGCTCATGCTTACAAACAGTTGTTTTATGTATTTTGTCCTGATTTTAAAATTATTTGTGATTGGAGATTAATTCTCAAACTAGCTATTTTCCATCACCAGAATCTGAAGTCTCAGTTTTTTTATAGACAGATTAACTGATTTTTAAAGTCAGATACATTGCTTTGTATTTATTTTATTCTAGAAGAAACATTTTGGTTTGGTTGTCATTATGGAGTAAGTACTATATTTCATAGAATTGAGTGTTAATTGGGAAGACAGCTTATGTTAGTTAAATTATTATACATTATTTGGTTTCTTAATTATCCATTGTGTTTTTTGTGCTTAAAGGAATCATTTGTTGCAGTTTGCCTTAGAGTCACCACCCATTTCTCCTGCTTCCTCCTCTTCAAGAAACCTTGCCGCCAAAGTACACACTCCTCAAAGTACACACAGACAGTCTTTAAAGCAAGGAAGCAGGTTAATGGAGAATTTCCTGATTAGAGAAGCTGGTGGTTCTACATCAGAGTTGTTGATAAATGAGAATGAAAGCAAACTCAGCCTTCAAAAAGAGGTGAGCACTTCTGCCAAGACCAAAGAGACACCTTCTTTAGAAAAGACACCTTCAGGCATCTCGGATGCTGATGTTCCTGAGGCACCCTCTACATCGACTTTGAAACAGGTTCCTAAAGGTAGGAAATTATTTTCACGTGTTTATTTTCTTACTTAGTGGGGATCTTCTCATCCCAAAGGACTTAAGAATAAATAAGCAGCACTTTTGAGGGGGGAAGAATTTGAGAAAGGGCAAACCAGATCTCACCTTCTATTAATCTCAGAGATCGATGTAGGCAGTGCTTCAAGATGTGTGTGTTCTGTTTCTCACAGAATAGTAGTTCAGGCTGTTTGCTACAAAAAATGAAGCAGTTTTAATTCATACTTTGAGTATGGCAATAGCTTTCTGTTTTTCAGCCTTTTATTTTTTAAATCCTCACCTGAGGATATGTTTTTTTTAATTGATTTTTAGACAGAGACAGAAACATTGATTGTGAGAGAGAAACATTGATTGGTTGCCTCCTGTATGCGCCGACTGGGCATTGAACCTGCAACCTTTTGGTGTACAGGACAATGCTCCAACCAACTGAGCCACCCAGCCAGGGCTGTTTTTTAGCTTTTAATTCCTCCCCCTACCCCCAGCTGCCATCCTTCAAATTATTTCTGGTTTAATCTTTTTTTTTTTTTTTTTAAATCTTTATTGATTTCAGACAGAGGAAAGGGGAGGGAGAGAGAGAAACATCAATGATGAGAGAGTCATTGATCGGCTAGCCTGCAACCCGGGCATGTGCCCTGACCAGGAATCGAACCCCAATCACCTGGATCCTAGATCGACGCTCAACCGCTGAGCCACGCCCGGCCGGGCTCTGGTTTAATCTTAAAGAGCGCTTTGTATCTTATTGTACCACTACTTCAACACTTCTAAGCTATTCTGACTGGCATTTATAGCCTGCAACAATTTGACCTCTGCCTTTGCTGTCCGAACTTACTCTCACCTCTGTCTCAAAAGTCCCTCTCCTCTACCCAAGCTGATCTCCCCACTATTCCTTGAATGCGCCTAGGGATTGGCAGCCTACCACCTACAGGCCAAATTCGGCTTGTCGCACCTATTTTTGCCCCATCCATTTGTTTACATGTTGTCATGGTTGCTTTCATGCCACATGGCAGAGTTGAGTAGTTGTGACAAGGGACCACCTGGCTCACAAAGCCTGAAACCTTTACTGCCTGGCCCTTTACTAATAATGTGCGCCTACCCCATTTTGTCTTTTAGACTCTATCCAGATCCTAACCACTTTGGTTTTGTTAGATAATATTGATAACTCATATCACTAAAGTATGTGTTACAGCACATGTTTTCTGGACTATGTGTATATAATTTGCTTAACTTTTTGATGAGTGGTCAGCTTGTTTAGCCTATTATTTTATGTCTGTTCTTGCCAGTGAGTTGTAGAAGACCCTTTATGCAGAAACTGTATCTTAGACATCTTTGGTACACTCATAGCACACACTGTGCAGGGCTATTGGTGGTTATTAAATTTAGATTGACGGTTTATTAGTACTCAGGTGTTTAAATTTCATAAGGATATGTGAATTTTACTTGCACTTCCTAGTGTACCTTATGTTTGGTCAATCTGTCAGTTCACAGTTCTTAGGGTAATGTTTTTAGTTTCATGGTTAGATTTTTTTCCTTTAGCAGAATCAATTTCTCAAATGAAATCTTTCAATGAACCATAACATACAAAAGAGATAAAATAGGCTCTGCTCCCTTAGAGATGTGCTGCTCCACCTAACCTCCCCTCCGTCCCTGTCTGTTACCCAGGGTTGCCTCTAGGCCCCCAGGTATTTCCACAGATCCCTGCAGACTATGAAACAGTTTGAGCATGATTGCATTTCCTAATTTTAATTTACAAGCCAGAGCTAAATTAACCACTTTGTAACCATTGATAATTGAGCAGTAATTGGCCTAAACCAGTAAATGCTTTGATCTAGCTACACCACCCTCACCCCCTTCACCCTGCCCCTAGCCAAATAGTATGTCTTACTCAGGTTGTTGTGATTGCTTCGAAATGGCTCGTAAGATTTGGGAAACCCTAAGATTAGTTTTATAGTTTGATTACACCTTGGTAGAAAAGACAACTAAAGCATCTTCTGATAAACAAATTTCCAAACTTCTCTGCAGTTTCTTCTAGGGCCAGGATTTGAATTATGTGACTTCCCACAATTCAGTCATTATTCAGTAACCAGTCTTTTATCGTAATCTCAGAAAGATGCCATGTTCTCTTATTTTTACCCATTCTACAAACAATAAAGTCTTTCTTTTTTAATAAAAAAATACAGTGGAATGTCCTGTTTGCGGGGTTAGTATTTTAGAAGATCACATCAATAAGCATTTGGACAACTGTTTATCACGTGAAGAGAAGAAGGAAAGCCTCAGAAGGTAAGAAACTTAAACATAACTGTTGAGCCACTTTAGCTAGGTGCCTCTTGTGGTTATAAACTTGGGCAAAAAATATAATGTTCATTGTATCCTAGTGACCAATTGTCCAAGTCCCTCTCCCACTTGCTCTTTCCTTTACTCCTGTCAGTTGACTCTTCCATTCCCAAATATAATTAACTATTGAATTTACCTGCTAATAAAATTTGACTTAACAAGAAATTAGTGACTTAGGATTAATTTTTTTAAATTTGTTTTCTTTTCTTAGAACTACTAGAAAGCCCTTTAGCTAGAGAAAGCAAGGTTAGACTTTGAATATATAACATACACAGTCTCTTTGGTTCTTAGGATGCTGAGAAGTTTTACAATTTTAAATAAAGCTTTTTCAAAACAAAATTTTTTCCCAAATAGGCAATTATATTACATATATTAAAAGGTACAAAAGGGTATGTGTGAAATGGAATGCTCTCTTGCCCCAGCCCTCAGCCACCCAGGTGGCATAACTAATAAGTTGTCAGCTTAGTGTTTGCACCTAGAATTCTGTTTTGCCTCCCTTATACATCAAAGTCACAGTAATTTGTTTATGTAGGCCACTAGTATGAATAGGAATGAAATTTGAGTCAGTTATATTGCAGGGTGTTAGGAATCAGTGGTTAATGAAGATAAGAAAGCAGAAGCTGCAAATTAGAGGAGTCTGGTGATGAAGGAAAGAAGATCGATGAGATGGTTGTTTGAGAAGGGAGTAAACATCAAGATCAAAGAAGATGCTATTTTTAAAACAAATTTGTTAAGCCTTCAGTCTCTCTCCTCTCACTGTCTCCAGGGAGGGAGCATAAGAGATGAAGAATCCAGGAATGAAGTTGTCCTTGACGTGTAGAAAGAACCCTTCCTCTGAAATGGGGGTGCAGAAGGGGAGAATAGGTGATAATTCAGAGAGATTCGGAAAAGGAGAGGAGGGGAACTGAGGAAATTAAGGCTACCTGGGAGCGGGGGCAAATAGAGTGATTGGCTCTGATATTTGGTTTGTTTTGAAGAACTTGCAAGAGTATTTTCCAAAAACCATGTTAATAAGGCAGGATGCCTGGCCAGGCGTGGCTCAGTGGTTGAACATTGACCTAGGATCCAGGTGATCAGGGTTTGATTCCTGGTCAGGGCACATGCCCAGGTTGCAGGCTTGATCCCCAGTCCCTCTCTCATGATTGATTTTTCTCTCTCTCTCTCTCCCTCTCCTTTCCTCTCTCTGAAATCAATAAAGATATATTTTTAAAAAATAATAAGGCAGGACCTTTTGTTATTATTATTATTGTTGTTATTTTTTAATTCTCACCCAAGGATATGTTTTTTAATTAATTTTGAGAGAGAGAGGAAGGGGGAGAGAGAAACATTGATGTGAGAGAAACATCGGTTGCCTCTCTTACTCACCCTGACCAGGGATGGAACCTGCCACCTTTTAGTGTGTATAGGATGACGCTCCAACCAACTGAACCACTCAGCCAGGGCCCTTTTATTATTTTTTGTGATTAAAAATAAAATGGTGTGACTTAATTTTTATGAGTAAATAGAGTGAATTCAGGTTCCAAGGGACAAGCTCATGCCATTACAACTTACAAAAGCTCACATATACAGCATGATACTTTATTTATTGGCAGTTCTTATTGTAGTGTTTTTAGCTTGATAGTTAATATTTTTCTATAGCAAAACCTTTTTTGAAGTGAAATTGTACAGTGAACTACTACATATAAAATAGGTAAAATTGGCCATGCTGCATTAAAGTAGAGATGGACAGCCTGGGGGTTGTGCTGCTCCACCTGACCTCTTCCTTCATCCCTGCCTCTTATGCACGGTGGCCTCTAGGCCCCCATATACCTACACAAACCCCTACGCAGTCTTTTGTTCACAGCACTCCCTTCTAGTGGGTAAATTTGTTGACGAGAATAAAATTTAGATTTTTTAGGTTACTCTGTTAGTTGAGATTTGGAATAAGTGAAATGGATCATTGCAAGGATTATTTCCCATAAGCCATGAGGATCTGATGACCTGCACTTCTTTTTAGAAATGTTTCTTCCTGCCTGGCTCGTGTGGCTCGGTTGAGCATTGTCTTCTGCACCTAAAGCTCTTTGGTTCGATTCCTGGTCAGGGCACATACCTGGGTTGCACGCTTGATCCCATCAGGGGCATGCAGGAGGCAGCTGATCAATGACTTTCTCTCATCATTGATGTTTCTATCTCTCCCTCTCCCTTCCTCTCTGAAATCAATAAAGATATATTTTTAAAAAAGAAAGAAAGAAAAGGAGAAGAAATGTTTCTTCCTAAAGAAAGGGTTGGCAATACAGAAGCTAGACTAAGGAATCAGCGCTGCTCCCTTGCTTGGGCTGCTGTTTTTCTAGATGCATCCATTATATTTCCTTTAACACATTTAACTCTTTCAGTTAATCCAAAGCATACTCATCCATGTATAATTAAGTTCAAGTTCCAATAGTGGTTCCAGATCCTGCTCCTTGGGATGCTGTAGTCCTGCCAGTTGCTCTGTTGTGCAACTGAGAAGCAATGCAAACTGAACCTCTCTCTTAGGTTCGTGTATGACACTCTACAAGTTAGTGTATGAAAGGCTCTGAGAAGTCCTACATTAAAGGTAATTGTTGGATTTTCTTTAATCCAGTAATTCCTAAATTTATTTGACCCGCAAACCTCTCTGTCTTCATAACTCTTATGAAATTAGTGTTTGTGAAGATACATTTAGGGAAAACAATTGAGCCACATTTCTCTTTAAAGAACTTACATTTTGGTCCTGGGGTCTGGTCACGTAAAAGAGTCTCTGACATTTAAAAAATTTTCTCCACAACACCCTGACAGGCCATATCCTCGATGTGGGTGACAACCTTTAACTCATTATGTATAGATTCATATCAGAGTTGATTCAGAGAATGCTCTTTCTTTTGATGTCTTCAGATTCTGAGGACCCTTAAATGTATTATTCAGTTCCACTAAATCATGGAAGAAAGATCAGTGTCATTTTCATGTTTTGGGAAACATTTATCAGTCTTCATATTTTAACATTCTTGGTAGAAATTGTTGATTTTTGCTGGTGCTTTTCATTGTAATGCCAGTAACCATTACAGTTTTCCATTAGGATTTCATAGTCATAAGTTTAATCATCTACCTTGATAAAATAAATGTTTAATGAATTGTTCCTCGCAATGTGCTTATATAAACTACAGAATGTTTCAGCTCTGGCTACCTACTGTGATTTTATTTAGCCATAATCTTATCAGTCTCGTTGAGTTCAATAGGCCGTCTGCCATTATAAGAAGAGCAATTTTCAGAAAAATGTAATCTGTTGAGGGTTTATAGGTCTTTCTACAGTTAAATAGTTATCTCTGGCTTTTAAACTTTATTGACAGAGCACAAAAGAAGTAATTTAGCCAGGGAATGACACTGTTGGTTAGTAGATAAATGTTCGGGTTTTTTTCATTCTATGTATAACTGTACCATTTCTCTAATGTTTTTTACTATTTGTATCAGATTTACTCTGTGGAGCCTTAGTAATATAGATTTTAGGTCTCCACTTCAGGACCAAGTGAGTTGGGGGATGGTGTGGAGAAGTGACTGAGAATCTACATTTTAAATAAACTCTCCAGGTGGTTCTGAGATACCCTAAAGTTTGGGTAACAGGGCCTCGTATGAACTAGTTATATGGAAGTCCTTTGTAAAATCTTGTGTTTATTTTTTTTTAATAAACTTGCTGCTTTCAACTTCCTATTTTTTCCTGAACCTTTGATAGTCTCATTTAAAAATGATGACAATTTTAACAACTACCTTGAATACATATTTATTAAGCACCTAATTGCCATAGTGTTGAGTAAGGCGATATACTCAGAGAAACAGGTTATAATCAGGTTAAAACTCATTAACTAGTTCCTGTTTATAAAATTGTCTCAGGTCATTGAAACCGTTTCAATGACTTGAGACAATTTTATTCCATTTTAACAATGTTCATTAACTGGTATCTTGGAGGGAGTAAAAGAAAGTCATTTGATAGGGCTTTGTTATATTTAAAATTGTAGCTTAGTGCTGATCAGTATGTTAATTATGAAAATAGAATGAAGAGCCAGGTGGTGATTTTGCTAGTACACTTCTTGTAATGCCTTTTATATTTGTTAATATAATTAAGTTGAAGAGAACAAAACCTTGTTGTGTTTTTTGCTGTTGCTTTTAATTGTATTCTTTGCAAAATGATTGCCTTGGGTTTGAGGGGCAGTTTTGCCTATGGATCAGACTTTATGGTTAAGTCTATAGCTTAATATTCAATAGCATTTGTACTCTAATCATCTGATATAACAGGTTTTACAGAGATTTTTGCATGGAAGCCATAGGCGAATTTTAGGAAAAGGATGCTTTAAAGAGGTAGAGAATTTTGACTAAGTCTGTGTGATTCTCAGTGAAGTTCTCATAACATTTAATTCACAAGCCTTCCATGTGAGGCCCAAGTTTGCATCTTTAGGCCTGACCTCTTTCTGAGACCTAAGTCTCTCTCAAGTTTTGGCTGTCACTCCTCTATCTGAATGTCCCACTGGTACCTCAGATACATTTTGTTGAACACTGTCAACTTTGTAAATTTCATCTTTCTCGTTCCCATTTTTATCTTAATGATTGTGTTCTCCCAGTCACCCTGGTATTGAGTCAGAAGGTAAATTACTATTTTACATGAAAAGCATTTGATAATTCACAATAATCTTCAGTTATCTATTTTTTCCCCTTTTAGTTCTGTTCAGAAAAGGAAGCCGCTGCCCAAAACTGTATATAACTTGCTATCAGATCGCGATTTAAAGAAAAAGCTAAAAGAGCATGGATTATCTATTCAAGGAAATAAACAGCAGCTCATTAAAAGGCACCAAGAATTTGTACACATGTACAATGCCCAGTGTGATGCTCTGCATCCTAAATCAGGTAAAGCAATAAAACAATGAGTTACGCTTGCCCTGGATAAAGCCGTTTATGTAACTCAGGGATTATAAACCATAGAAAAAATTTTAATAGATATATATTTGAAAATAGATACGACGTGCAAATGTATTCCTTCAGAAGGTACTAGAATGTACTATGATAAACCAGCCTTTATCTGAGCCAGTCTCAGCCCCCATTCCCTTCTCAGAAGCAGTCACTGTGCCAGTTTCTTTTCTTTTTTTTTTTTTTTTTTAAATATATCTTTATTGATTTCAGAGAGAGGAAAGGAGAGGGAGAGAGAGAGAAACATCAATGATGAGAAAGTCATTGATCGAGCCTGCAACCCGGGCGTGTACCCTGACCAGGAATCGAACCCGATCGCCTGGATCCCAGGTCAACGCTCAACCACTGAGCCACGCCCAGCCGGGCAAGTTACTGTGCCAGTTTCTTACGTGTCTTTCCAGAGATAGTGTGGGATAAAGAGTTGGTCTAGAGAGCCTGGGTTATACTCCCATCTTTGCAGCACTATGACTGGATGACTTTGGGCAAGTTCCTTAAGTTTCTTATTATCTCAGTTTTCTCATCCATAAAATAAGGGTTATGACACTACCTACTTTATAGTGTTTGAGAGGAATAAATTAAAAAACACGTATAAAATGCCTAGCATAGTACCTTAGCAAGTAGTATTCAATAAATGTTACCATTATGATTATTATACACAAACATATGTCCTTGATCACTTGTTTTATAAAATTGTTAGTTTACATAGTCATATGCCACATAACATTTTGGTTAACAATGGATCGCAGGTAGGACATGGTTTCTTAATATTATGATAGAGGTGAAAAGTTCGATTGCCTAGTGATGTCATTGTCGTAATGTCGTGTATCATAACCTCGTAGTGTAACCTCGTAGTGTAACGCATTACACAAATATCATTATGTTACAGTTACCTAGTAACATGCTTGTAGCCTAGGAGCAATAGGCTATACCATCTAGCCTAAGTGTGCAGTAGGCTATATCATCTTGGTTTGCATTAGTGCACTTGATGTTTGCACAACAGAATCACCTAGTTACATTTCTCACAGCGTATCCATTAGGCAGTGCATAACTCTACTCATTGTTAAATCATTTGTTCTTTTTATTTAACCACGCACATATTTTTGAGTCCCTTCAATTATCAACCTATATAAAATTGCCAATTAAAAAAATTATAATATGCAAACAGAAAAGTACACAACTTAGGAGTGTATTGTTTGGGGAATTATCATGAAATAGGTTTCACATAGGGCAAATGTATTTGTAACCACTACTCAGATCATCACCAGCATCCCAGAAGCCCCTGTCCTCTCCCAGTCACTACCTCATTCATTCTCACAGATGTCCACCGTCTTGACCTCTAACACCGTTTATTAATTTGGCCTATTTTGGCCTATGTTTTGTCTTTATAAATGGAATAATAGATAGCTTATGTATATTATTTTGAGTCTATCTTTATTTGTGCAATGTTATATTTTTAAGATTCATCCATGTTTTTGTGAACATTTGTGATTTTGTTGTTGCTGTAGAGTATTCTGTGTACATATATCTCACTATCCATTCAATGGTTGATGGGCATTTGGATTTTTCCACTCTTTGGCTTATAAGAATTATTTTGCTTGGAATAATCTTTTCTGTGTCTTCTTTTTTTTAAATCCTCACCCGAGGATATTTTTTTGCATTGCTTTTCAGAGACTGTTGAAGGGAAGGGAAGAGAGAGAGAGAGAAACATCGATGTGAGAGAGACACATTGATTGGTTGCCTCCTGCACACTCCCCGACCTGGGCCAGGGATCGAGCCTGTACCCGAGGTACGTGCCCTTGGCTGGAATCAGACCTGGGACCCTTCAGTCAGCCGGCCAGTGCTCTAACCACTGAGCAAACCAGCTAGGTCTGGATTTGCTTTTTAAATTTAATTTGACAAGGTACGCCGTTAAATTGTAGGGTTTTTGTTTGTTTGTTTGTTTGTTTTTTAAATATATCTTTATTGATTTCAGAGAGAGGAAGGGAGAGGGAGAGAGAGAGATAGAAACATCAATGATGAGAGAGTCATTGATCGGCTAGCCCGCAACCCGGGCATGTGCCCTGACCGGGAATCGATCCCCGATTGCCTGGATTCCAGGTCGATGCTCAACTGCTGAGCCACGCCCGGCCAGGCAAATTGTAGGGTTTAAGCCATTATTTTATTTAATCTCTTTGGTTGGATGTAAGTCTGCCATCTTGCTCTTTGTTTTCTATTTATTCTACTCATTCATTGGTTTTTCTTTCTTTTGGATTGAGTGTTTTTTAGTTTTCCATTTTATTTCCACTATTGTCTTATTAGCTATACCTCTAATTTGTTTTAGTGATTCTGGAGTTTAGCATGTGTATCTTACCACAGTTTAACTTCAGATAATATGCTACGTAAGTAATGTAAGGACCTTCTGACTCCCATCCTTTGTTTTATTGCTGTCATAGATTTTTCTTCTGTGTTTGTTATAAACCCTATAATACCGTGTTACTATTTTTGCTTTAAACTGTCGTTTTCTTTTAAATAAAATTAAAAAATGCAAAAATCTATAGTATGTGCCTACATATTTACTGCTTCTGGTGTTCTTTATTTCTTTGCTAAGATCCAGGTTTCCATCGGATGTCATTTTCTTTTGCTCTGAAAAAACTTATTCAATATTTCTTGTAGTACAGATGTGCTGTTGAGACAAATTCTCTCAGCTTATATTTGTCTGAAAAAGTCTTAATTTTGCATTCTTAAAACAATCTTTATTTGGAAATAATTTCTAACTTAAGGGAAAGTTGAGACACTGTTGTAAAGAACATATACATACCCTTTGCACAGATTCACCTATTAGCATTTGCCCCATTTGCTATATGAATTACTGTTTTTTCTCTCTGTGTATGAATGTATATGTGTTTGTGTGTGTGTATCTTTATACACACATATTTTTTTTAAATCTGAGAATAAGTTATATAATCTTCACTCTATTCCTAAATACTTTATTGTGTATTTCCTAAGAAAAAGGATATTCTTTTATTGCCACAGTATAGTTATCAACCTCAGTGAATTCAGCTTTGTTACAGTACTTTACCATCTCTGTTCTGGTTTCAGCAGTGGACCCAAAAATGGCCTTTGTAGATTTTTTTCCCCTCCTGTACGTGATCCGGTTTTGGATCACATACTGCATTTAGTTCTAATATCTTTTTAATCTCTTTCAACCTGGAACAGTTCCTCAGTCTTTCTTTGTCTTTTTATGACATTGGCATTTTAAAAGAATACGCTCTTTGTTTTTTCTCCCAAGTAGAATGTTTCTCATTTTGACTTTGTCTAATATTTTCTTATAATAGCATTCAGGTTGCGCATTCCTGAATGTCGATGAACTCCTGGGTTAGGCTTAGACGCCTTCCTGTATTTGGTTTCAATACTATATGAATACTCTGTAAGTAATGTCCTGTCCTTTTCAGAGTATCAGTCACATCCAGAGGTTTTTAACATCTTTGTGCACCTCATTTGTGATTGCAGGTATGATCACCTTGTCAGTTTCTCCATTATAAAGTTTCTCCTTTGCTACTTAGCTGTAGAGAGACATTTTAATACCATATAAATATTCTATACCTCATTAAAACTTTATCTCTATGTTTAGCCTTCTTTGGTAATTTTATCTTTTCTGTGATAGTTGCAAAATGATGATTTTGTAACTTCAGCACTCCTACATTTGCCAGTTTCCGCTTGCCATGATTCTGGAAACAAGAGCCCTGTTGTTTTGTTTTTTTTCTTTGTCTGGGGTCAATGTAGATTCACATATTTATAACTTATTGTCATCCTTAATTATTTTGGTTTTATGCTTTTCCAGATCTTGCCAGTGGGAGCTTCTTTATGCTAATTCCTGGTCCTCATGACATGCCCCATTGTGTGTGTGTGTGTGTGTGTGTGTGTGTGTGTTTTATTTTTTTACTATTTCTAACATAATCCTGGAATCGGCCATTTCCCTGAGGAGCTCTTTGCTTCTTTTTTTGGGGAAACCAAGATATGGTGCCTTTGCTTCTAGGCTCTTTCAACAGATGGAGCTCAGGAATATATTCATACATAAATGTATGCATGCACATGTAAGTCCATTTACACTTGAAATCATGAGCACACACTAATACCTCTACTTTGAATCTAACCTCACAGGGCTCTTTGTTAACTTTCTCTAGTCCATATTTGTATTTCTCTTTTTCCACAGGGAGAATCTTCCCTCCCAACAGCATCAGCACGTTTATTAATTTGTTTAATTCTATAATCTAAAATACTTTCAGAATTGCTCCATCTGTACTACTACACCACTGCAAAACAGACCTACCTATGTGAAAGAATTCCGGGTTGTTGTAGTTTGTTTTTGTTTGTTTGTTTGTTTTTGTTTGTTTTACTATTCCCAGCCTTCCCTCCTCCCTCTTCCCTCCTCCCTGGCCTGGACCAAGGGTATATAGTCAGATACTGTGGTAATAAGTTCCTTTTTATCTCCTTTTATTGTGGTTATATTATTTATTTGAAATATAGTGGGTCTCATTTATTTTACTTTGTTTCCAATTTCTGTTATTGTTATTTAGTAACCCTCTTTTCAGTACAAGAAATTAATAACTTAAATGTAACATTTAAAAAGATGTATTTTTGTAATGGATCTATTGCTGTCATAAAAGTATTACATATAATAGCAGTTCTGTTTGCTTTTGTTTCAAGAGTGTTCCTAATTGCTTGTTGAAGCATATTTGTGATGGTAGCTTTAAAATTCTTGTCAGATAATTCCAACATCTGAGTCATCTTTAGTGTTGGCATCTGTTGATTGTCTTCTCATTCAAGTTACGATTTTCCTGCTTCTTGCTACAAGTGTTTTTATTGTATCCTAGACAGTTTGAGTGTAATATTATGAGTTTCTAGATCCTATTTAAATATTCTGTTTTAGCAGGCAGTCGCCCTGTTTTGGTTTAGCACGCAGATCCTGGCCTACTTTTGTGGGTTGTGGTTCTAATGACAATTTCGTTTTCAGAGCCCATACAGTGTTGTTCTGGTGTCATTTACTTGCTACCTGGAGGCCACTCTGAAAACCTGGTATTCCATACTGTGGTTCAGTTCTCGGACCTTTTGCCATATTCTAGACATTTGGTCAGGGGTGTGTCCAGGATTCCCTGTGCAGGTATAAAGAATGCTTTTCTCTAGGTTTCTTCTTTTTCAGATCTTCCCTTCAAGCAGTAGTTGAGAGGTTGAGGGTGCCATCTGCCATCACTGGCTGAGGAGTAGAAGTCTAGGCTCCTCACTGGGTCTCCATTGACACTGTCTTGGCTGGAGAGGAAAGCCTGCCCCAGGCCTCTTGCTACTGCTGGGCAGTTATGGTGGGAAGGGGGTGGAAGTCCACACTCCCCACTTATTCTCTGATGATGCTGCCTGGGACTGGGAGCATCAGCAGTGCTCAGCTGAAGTTGATTGGATATTGTCAAAAGATTTCTCATCTCCCCCTTTCACAGTCCTTTGCTTAGAGAGAATAGGTTTTCCCATGGGGCTTTTCCCACCCCTGTGTGTGTTGGTGGTTCTGGGTCACATGCTTCACCAAAGCACAGTCTTGCATATATAGAAGATAAAATAAAATTTGGTGAACTCTCGGTGGTGTTCCTCAAATTATTAGGTCCTTAGTTCATTTTCCTCTTTCCACTTTCAGAGTTCTGTCATCATTGTCTGTTATGTTATAGACAGGGTGTTTGGTTATTCTTATTGGGGAAGAATACTAGAAATGAGAAGAGAATGAGGCCAGTCCCTCTTGTTTAAAACCAGAAGTTCTTGTTTATGTATTTTAAATTTCTGTTTTAGGTGCAAACACATTTGGGATTATGTCTTCATGGTGAATTGAATGATCCTTTTGTATACTTTCCCTCTTTATTAACATTCATTGTTCTGAAATCTCTTGTGCCTCATAATAATATAGCTTTTTCAGGGTTTTTTCCTAAATTAGTATTTATATGATACATCTCTTTCCATACTTTATTTTGACCTATCTATGCCTTTTATTTAAAATGAGTTCTCTATTGAAAGAATATAGTGTGGTCTTTTTTTTATCCAGTCTTCATTTTCTGCTTTTATAATATTAGTGCTTTTATAATATTTGCATTTACTGTACTTATGATACAGTTGGCTTTAATCTTAGCACATTACTAGTTGTTTTCTGTTTGTTATATTTACTATTGGCCTGTTATTTTACCTCTTTTTCAAAAAGTTTTAATGGTTGCCCTGTGGTTTGTAGTATGCACCTTTAATTATTCACAGTCTATTTCCAAATAATATACTACTGCTTCATGTGTAGTGTAAGAACTTTACGACAGTGTACTCCCAACCCCTAATTCTGTGTGCTATTGTCATGAATTTTATATATTTACATAGGCTGGTAACATCACATTGCTATTGTGTTTTTTTTAAACATATAATTAGTAGTTAAAAATAAGAATTCCCTTCGTTTTTACTATTTCTAGCACTCCTCATTTCTTGTTAGAGACAAGTTTCTGGTTTTATATTTTTTCTGCTTGAAGAACTTTCTTTAACACTTTTTGCAATACAAGTCTGCTAATAATACATTCTCTTCATTTTTGTTTGCCTCAGAAAATATTTCTCTTTTACTTTTGAAAAATATTTCCATCAGTATAGAATTCTGGATTGGCGAGGTTTTTATCCCAGCACTTTAATTTGGTCACTCCATTGCCTTCTGGCTAGAATAGTTTTTGATGAAAAACATGATGAAATGCTTGAGAGAGAGAGAGAGAGTGTGTGTGTGTGGTATACCGCTTTTCTCTGTCTGGCTTTAGGGTTTTTTCTGTGTGTATGTTGTTGTCATTTTGTTTTGTATTTATCCTACTTGATGTTCTTTGAACTTCATGCATTTCTGGTTTGATTTCTTTGACTATATTTGGCAAATTCTAGCCATTAGGTCTCCAAATATTGTTCTCCCTTTTTTCTCATTCTGGGATGTCTATTACATGTATGTTAGACTTTTTGCTATTGCCCCACAACTCTTATATGCTCTGTTCTGCTTTATTTGTGTGTTTTTTTCCCTTCTGTTTCCATTTGGGTAATACCATTAATCCCATTTCAGGTTCACTGATTCTTTCCTTAGCTGGGTCAGGTTATCTCTGTAAATGTGCTTTTTTATGTCTAAAATTCCTATTTTATTATTATTGTCTCTCCTGTCATGTACCATCTATTCATGCATGTTGTTCATCTTTTCTACTAGATATTTTAGTGTAATAGTTATTTAAAACTCTAATGTGATAGTTCTAACATCTGGGTGATATCTGAGTTTGGTTTTGTTATGGTTGGTTATTTGTGTGATTGTTCATATATTTTGTAAATTTTGGTTGAAAGCCAGACTTTTTATGTGAAAATCTAAACACTGAAACAAATAGTATTTGTGTCTAAAAAAATGGACATGTCTCTTCTGCTAGGTCTTTATTATTATGTGGGATTTACTTGCTTTGGGTTTTGTTGTTGCTGTGATTATCCTCAGTTTACCACCAGTTTCATATCCCTTGTGTTTTAGGTTGGTGTCTGAGTTACCGGAAGTTAGTTTGTTTTTCAGATGTTCCTGTATCGCTGGCACATAGGATTTCCTTGTGAGCCTGTGCCTCAGAGTCTCTCCATGCTCACTTTTCTCCTGGTGGTAGATTATTGTTATTTGTCCTTGGCTTACTGGTAGGAACATGGGGTCATTCTCTGTTGTTCTATTTTAGCCTCATTCTCAGGCAGGCTCTTTGATTCTGGGTCTCAGGGGTGGGGCTCTGTGTGATCCTGTCCCTCCCCTAGTGGCTGGGGACCCCTAGTGGTCTGGGCCCATGGTGGTTTCCTGAACCTAGTTCAGGTTTTGTTTGTTTCCTTCTCCCAACAACAGTGGGTCATTTACCTTTGCTCTGGGGACTACAGTGTTGCTGACCATCCTGCTGTGGCATAATGCTTTTGTTTCTTCAGGATTAAAGATCCGGTGGGGTTTCATGTGTTTTCTGCAGTGGGGGGCTGTCCTCCTTTCCCAGGCCTGGATCTGGAGGGATACCTTTTCTAATTTCCTGCCCTTCCCCTAATAGTTCTTGTGAATATTCAGTCCAGTCTATAGACAGTAGCTTTGGAATAGTTGTGACTCCCCTTGAGTCTAAGCTTCCCAGGACTTTTATACTTTTGTGATGGTTCACCCTTGGCCTTTTGCAATTCACCAAAAAGTTTAGCTGAAATCTTCTTACCCAGAGGTAGGTTGTTCCCAGCCTTTCTCCTATGCACTGCTCTAAGTCAGCCAGTTTTCAAGACCTGCTCCGTCCTTGAAGGCACCTGTCTTTCCTTAGATTTCAGGCTAGTGGTTTGCCCTGTGACTTAGCTCTGATAGATGCAAGAATAAGTTACGGTTCTATAGATTATCCAGTGTTTTCTACCGGGTGTATAATATCAGGGAGGCAAAAGGTACCTGGCCAGTGTGCCTTTTATTTAAAACAAACTTTAAATTGAGGTAATTGCATTCTTAAATGATCCTCTGGGGACTTGGTTTTGTAAAAAACTTTAAAATGGGGATTATATCAAATTTATATAAAAGTGTAGTGAAGAGTGTGATTCCCCTCATATACTTATTATGCCTAATGTCTGTCATCTGTCATTTACATTCCTCCTTCCCATGGATTATTTTGAGGCAAATTTCAGACATAGTATCATTTTGTGTATAAGGGATTGTAGATTTTTATTCTATACCATATATTTTTTCGTTTTAATATGTTGACTTTGGAGGCAGAGAGATAATGCTTGCAAATGCAATGCTATTTTCATTCCGAGGCATTTATATATGTGACAGTATATTCCAGATCTCTAATGTTTATGATTGGTAACTGCACCTGGAGGCAAGGCCATTTTCTCTCTGGTATCCTGTAGACCTTTATCTCTCTTTGAAAAGTGGCCTGTTGTGTATTGGAGTTTAAGTGGATATCCCCTAAGAATTGAATTCACACTAATAAATTAATTTGCGTATTTCATTGAGACTGCTATTTATACCTATATACTCAAAGGAAAGAACACCGTGACTTTATTGTATTTTTCTGGTTATATTTTAAACTGTTTAAACTGCATATATAAGTTTTAACTTATTTTTTTAACTTTTTATTTTGAAATAACTTTAGACTTACAGAAAAATAATAAAAATGGGACAGAGTGTTTATGCATACCCGTCACCCAGCTTCATTGTTAACAACTTACATGACCATAGTACAATGAGCAAAACCATGCAATTAACATTGGCTGTATGTCTTTATTTTAACAGCTGCTGAAATAGTTCAAGAAATTGAAAATATGGAGAAGACTAGGATGCGTCTTGAAGCTAGTAAACTCAATGAAAGAGTATGTTACAGTCTATTTCAGTATCTGGGTAGGAATGAAGGAAAGTTGAATACCCTGCTAAAATTAAAACAAGCTGGAATATACTAGAATACATTTACATTATATATTATGATTTACCCGCAGTTCATCTTCAGCACAAAATTCTTACATATTTAGCAGTTTTCAGACACAAAATGCAACCTTAAAATAGAATTTATTAATGAGTTATAATCCTTAGAAAAAGCATGTGCCTATATATCAGGTAGCCTTTATATTGGTCCTTTCTCTGCTAGTTGCACTTGAGAAGCTATTTAACCTCTGGCCCTTACCATCTTCACCTGTAAAACTCAGGGGCTGAACTATATGATCTCTATGATCTCCTTTTAGCTCTAGCATTCTGCAATTCTATGATGGTACTGATTGAGAAATTAAGTAATTGTAGGAGTTTATGAGTACTGAATATCTGTTGAGCTTATTGAGGGAATCAGAGACCTATAATTTTCACTATTGCCTTCCTCTAGCTTGATGGCCCAAAACTTGAGGAAAGGATGCCAAAGAAGAAAATAGTCCTGTTCTATGACACTGGAAGCAGTGTTTTGGGCTCTCCCAAGTAGACTTTTTCCCCTAGACCATCCATAATGTGTTTGTAAGGAAAACAGTGGCCTTAGAGAAGTGAGCTTATAATCAGTAGTAGAAAAAAATGAGATTTTCTTTGATTTTATTATTACCTGTGTGCTAACTGTAAGATGGAGACTAATGAATCATGTAAGTACACTTCTGATCTCAAGTCTGAGATTTTAAAAAGTGGAACTAGAAATTTAACATAAGTCTTGTATTTTCCCTATATATTACATTTCTTATAGATTTGGGGAAGTTAGATTGGAAAAGATCGAAGGCAAACAAGAAAATCTGCCTTAATTAATGATCTGCTAAATGTCTCCAGTCTTGTAGTTTCAAGTGTCACCTGTTGTATTAATGAATGTGAAAAAATGAGAATTGAAAATAGGAAATATAATTGATTCTTGTATTAATACTTTATATATTTTAATGGAATCCATGTTGCATTTTCTACTGATGAGAAGTAAGTAATGAGTAATATGTATACTAATTATGATATTCAAGGGAAATACACGGGAGTGGAGTTATTTTTCCTAGGTCTGTATGAAACAGAGATGAGATTATTTTACTCTATTTTAAACATCCACATTTGAGAGTTTAAAGTTTATAGTAACTGTTTTCTATTTTTGTCATTTAATGAATTTTTAATTTAGAATTTTTGGATTATTTCAGATAATGGTTTTTACGAAAGACCAAACAGAAAAGGAAATAGACGAAATTCACAGTAAATATCGTAAGTTGTGTGATGCTTTCTTTATTTGCAAAGAATTTGGGTTACAGTTTTTCTATCTTAAGTAAAGTTTTAAAATAATTTTTTATATTAATGTTTGGTACAAACGTATCTTGTTAAGATAACTTAAGAGACTTAATTTTAGTTGTGTTTACTCAGACAGTGACCTTTTTTATAAGTCAGTGTGCCTGCTTTTTAATTTGTGTCTAACATTCTACTTTGAGCTTATCACTAAGCACTTTGCAAATATTAATTAGTTGCTCTCAGAGCATCTCTGTGAGTAGAAAATGGGATTAAAAAGGAAACATTTCTGCCCGGCCAGCATGGCTTAGCGGTTGAGCATTGACCAATGATCCTGGAGGTCACAGTTCGATTCCTGGTTGGGGCACACGCCCAGTTCCGGGCTCGATCCCTAGAAGGAGACGTGCAGGAGGCAGCCAATCAATGACTCTCTCATCATTGATGTTACTATCTATATCTCTTCCTCTCCCTTCTCTGAAATCAATAAAGACATTAAAAAAAAGGAAATATTTCTGACTTTCCATCCTGTCCTCAAGCCACTCAATGACAATAGTTCTGTAAAGAATTTCAGCACTTATAGCTTGCAAATTTGTGTCAAAAAGAGTTTTCATTTTATTAGGTATTAACAAAAATCCTAACTTTATTACTTCCTTTGCTTAAATGGCCTTTGTATATATCTTTCCTGGGGTTAGCACATTGCTGTTTTGTCTTTTAGGTAGCTATTATTCTTTGTTTGGTTTGTTTTTATTTTAAATTTAAATGTAAGTGCTTGGCAAACAGTAGCTAGTTAACAAATGTTTATTGAATGAGTATACCACACGAAGTGTTTTAGTTGTGCTGAGAGAATTTTATCTTCTTTCAGTTCTCAAGCTTTGAAGGGGCAGTCCCCAGTGATCTGTTTGGGGAGGCAGGATGAAGTGATAAGTAGGCTCTAAATGCAGGTGTGATGGCCTGTGACTTACAAAGAAGGAGCAGGAGCCTGGACTGTCCACGGACTGTAAGCTGTGCCACAAAAGTCATACCTCTGTTGCTAGAAAGATAAGGATGGTGTGGTTTATTTATTTTTTAATCAACTTTTGAGAAGCCAAAGTGATTTTTCTCGAGACAGGAGATAAAGACAATCAAGTGATCACTGAATTGGCAAAACTGAGGCCTGTAACAATAGGAAACCAGAAGATTTGCATGGAGAAAAAGTAATTTAGATCACTAAAAGAGTGGTAGCTTACAAATATGCCACACTAAGGTAGAAGTGGATTAGATGCAGGCAAGACAATATACAAATATCTATTGCCCACCATTTAAATATCTAAAAAAAAAGCTTTACTTTACTAAATAGGTCATGTTAAACTAATTGATTTAGCCAAAACAAACCTCAGTTTATACTTTAAAAACCCCCACAAAACTTTGAGGCACTTCTAAAGCTTAAGTGCGTTATAGTGCAGTCACACATTTTGATGTAGTGTCAGGCTCCAAATATACTATTGATTTCTTCTTTTAAACATTTTTATTAATGCTTTACATGCATGTAGTTTTGTTTTTAATTGATTTTTAAGAGGGAGGAAGGGGGAGGGGGTAGGAAAGAGGGGAGTAAGAGAGAGTGTGTCCTAGGAATCTGCAGAAGGTTCACCTTGTGTATTCATTGAGCATACAAAGTATGGTTTCTGACTTACTGTAGGAGGACTGGGACCAGGGTGGGTCTGCCCTGGCATGGTCTGTAAATAGGATTCTTCTGAGGTGTTACAGGAAAAGAATTTCCGGGACACATGCATAGGAATTAAGTGATAGCGGCAAAATCTATTAGAGTGAAAAGAGCAGAGAGCCCGTAGGCTACAGTAGCAGCTGGTTGCAAGTCTTGTGTGGATCCTTAGAGTTTAGGAAAACTTAGAGTTTAGGAGAAAAGAAGGCAAAAAGTACATGCCAGAAAGAAGGGCATGGGCGTGCTCCAAGGAGGGCTCTTGCTGGGGTTTTTCTCTGGCTCCTATATATTTCCTTGGGTTTGGAAAAGAGCAGGCTTTCTTTCAAAGTATTCCGTTTCCGATCTCTTTCCTGACTTTTTCCAAGGCTGTGCCTGCGTCCCCCATCCAGTCCCTTTTCTGGATCTTTCAGGGGTTTCGTGTCCTTACCCTATTCTGTCTTTTCCCCAGATTTCCCAAGCTAGTCCCCTCCCCCTTTGTAGTTGCCATTTTGGCTTCTACTGCGCATGCACCCAGTGAAAGGAATTTCCCTCCTGTTAATCTGGGGGACTGGTGCAGGTTGCTCCCTGGGGTGACTGAAAAGCATCTGCCCGAGTGACTGAAACTGTCCTTTTCTAGTTTATTTGGCTTAATCAGATGTCTGATTCCGTTTGCTCCCTTCCTTTTTGTTAATGCCTAACCAACTGCCTACTGTAACATGACCACAATAGAATTAAATTGGAAATCAGTAACAAAGCCCCCTGGAATACTGCCAAATATTTGGAAACTAAGCAACACACTTCCAAATAACTAACTCATGGGTCAAAGGAAAATTAAAACCAAGAAATTTCAAAATTATTTATTAACTCATTTAAAAATAACAATCCATTACATATTAACATAACCAATATGTTAATTGGGAAAATAACTTTCCCAAAACAAACCAAAAAAATCAAAATAAATGGAAATTTCTACTAGCCCAGATAGCATAACAGGGACTGCATTTATTTTCCTTCATTAATAAACTAGAAAACCAGATTAAATGTATGAAACAATGGTTTTTTAGATATTGGGGAAAAGTAGCACAGGGCTGTGATTCCTGGGAGAAAGAAAACAAAGTGGTGAGCTCCCCAGTGCCAGAGCTTACTACCTGTTGGCAGTTTTCAGGCATTGGATGGAGGACCCCCAAAATAATCTGGTGGTATCACTGAGTAGGTAAAATAGAAATGAAAGGTGTGGGAGACCAAGGTGTCTAGAATTTGTGGGACAGTTTACCAGAGAGGAGAGAGCCTCAGAGAAAAGAGAGCTCTATAAAGATCTCTAGAAAGATCCTGTTAAGCTTTTGGCTGCGGAGCAATCTACACATGAATGAGAGGAAAGTGCCTGAGGCTCGGGAGAGACTACTTGAAAGGATTAGCTCCTGAACAATTTCTGGAGCTCACACTGTGCCTGGAACAGCTTGAATCCACCACAGACCCTAGTACAAAAAAACTCTTATAATATATAGGGACATCAAGCAGAATCCTCAGAAACGTATTATTACTTTAGCAATAATCTACCTAAGGGCCAGATAATATTTTAGGCTTTGCAGGCTACATATGGTCTTTGTCAAATGTTCTTGCTTGTTAACAAATCTTTATAAAAATATAAAAAACATTCTTAGCTAGAGAATCGTACAAAAATAGGCCATAGGTTGGATTTAGCCTTTGGGCTGTTATTTGCTGACTTCTTTAGACTAATGGTTGTATTAATTTTCCCTAACAAAAAGATTTTTTAAAAATAGACTTGGTTTATAGCAAAATTGAGGAGAAAATACAGAGTTCCTGTATCTCCCCTGATCCATAGATGCACAGTCTCTCCTACTATCAAGATCTCTCATGGGAATGGTACAATGACATGTCATTATCACAAAGTCCATAGTTTACATTAGGGTTCACTCTTGGTGTCACATATTCTCTGAGTTTTAACAAATATATAATGACATGTATCTACCATTATCATATCATATACAAAGTAGTCACTGCCCTAAAAATCCCCTGTATTTGCTTTATTGATCCCTCTTTTCTCCCTAGCCCCTGGCAACCACTTATCTGTTTACTGTCTTTATAGTTTTTTCTCTTCCAGAATGTCATATAATTGTAATTATACAGTATGTAACCTTTACAGATTGTTTTCTTTCTCAGTAATATGCATTCAGGTTACTCTATGTCTTTTCATGGTTGGAAAAGTTCATTTCTTTTTAGCTTTGAACAGTATTCCATTTTCTGAATGTACCATAGTTCATTTATCAATTTACCTACTGAAGGACACCTCGTTGCTTCTTCTGGCAATTATGAAAAAAGTTGCTTTATGTTTATGTGCAGGTTTTTTGTGAACATAAGTTTTCAGTTTATTTGGATAAATACTTAGGAGTGTGAGTGCTGGATCATAAAGTATCTTTAGTTTTGTAAGAAATTGCCTTTTAAAATCTTTATACCATTTTGCATTCCCACCAGCAATGAGTAAGAGAGTTCCTGTTGCCTTGCATACTCACTGGCATATGTGTTAGTGATTTGGAAGTTTGCCATTCTGATAGGTGTGCAGTGGTATATTGTTTTTTAATATGCAATTATCTGATGACATGATGTTGAGCATTTTTTCATATGGTTATTTGTCATCTGTGTATCTTTTTAAAAAAATGTTTTTATTGATTTTAGAGAGAGGAAGGGAGAGGGAAGGGGAAAGATAAACATCCATGAGAGAGAAACATCCATCTGCTGCCTCCTGTATGCCCCCTACTGGGGAATGAGCCGGCAATTTAGGCATGTGCCCTGACTAGGAATCAAACTGGTGACCTGTTGGTGCATAGGATAACACTCAATCCACTGAGCCATACCAGCCAGGCTGTATATCTTTTTCCATGAAGTGTCTGTTCAGATCTTTTGCCCATGTTTTAATTGGGTCATTCATTTTCTTCTTGACTTTTAGAAGTTCTTTGTATATTTTGAATTATAGTCCTTTATCAGATATGTCTTTTGCAAATATTTCCTTCTGGTCTGTGGCTTGTCTTTTCATTATCTTGATAATCTGCCCTATTAAAATTTGAAAGCAAGCCTTGGAATGATTCAGTTGATTCCAAGTGGCTTGATATCCTTCAGAACAAAATACAATATAGTTGAAGGATAGAACAAAATCTAGCAACCAAGAGTATAAAATTAATAGTATTTAGTATCCTATTGAAATGATCAGGAATTCAGAGAAGCAGAAAAATAAGATCCATGGAAAGGAGAAATATTAATTAATAGAACCAGACCCAGAAATGACAGAGATGATGAAACTAGTAGACAGAAATGTTAAAACAGCATGTATAAATATTCTCCATATATCATGAAGGAAGCATAAAGTGGGGTCTTGCTGAGGTGAGAAATGGATGATATAAAAATGACTGAAGTGGAATTCCTTATATGACAAACATACCTGAATTGAAATATACACTGGATGAAGTAAAAACAGATTTAATTTGCATTCCCTGGAACAAAACTCCAGGCCCAAATGGCTTCACTGGTGAATTATATGAAACACATAAAGAAAGAAAGAATAGCAATTCTACACAAATTCTTCTAGAAAATTGAAAGGGAAGGAATACTTTTTATTCATTTTGTTGAATAAAATTTAGTTGGCTAAAGTTTCCATGAAACTAAATACCAGACGAAGACAGTATAATAAAAGTTCTGACCAGTATTCCTCATGAGCACAGATGCAAAATCCTTGACAAAATTTTAGTGAATGGAATCTAGCAATACATAGAAAGGATAATACATCATAAACAAGTGAGATCCTAAGAATACAAGATTGCTCTGGTCGGTGTGGTTCAGTTGGTTGAGTGTTGTCCCATGCACCAAAAGGTCACTGGTTCGATTTCCATCAGGGAACGTGCCAGGTTTGTGGGCTCGATTCCCAATAGGGGGCATGCAGGAGGCAGCCACTGTTTCTCTCCCTTTCCCTTCCTGTCTCTCTCAAATCAATAAAGACATTTAAATAAATAAATAAATACTTTCTCAATAAGTTTGATTTTAAAAATTTAGTGAGAAGAGTGGTACAGTGGTATCTCGGTTTTCGAATGTAATCCGTTCCGGAAGACCATTCGAGTTCGGAAACGTTCGGAAACTGAGGGATCACAGGTGGCAGCAAGGCCTCAGGATCTTGCCCTCAGCGGAAGCAGTGTAGCAAGTTCGACTTCCGAGGCGTGTTCGAAAACCGAATCATTTCCTTCCAGGTTTATGGCGTTCGTAACCTGAAATGTTCGTCAGCAGAGACATTCAAAAACCGAGGTACCACTGTATTTTCTATTTTTGTAAATCTCTTTAATGTCTTGCTTAATAAAAGACACCTCAATTCTTATACCAGCTTCTACATTTCAGCTGCCACCCTGTGTTATTTTGATCAAAGTGTATGAAAAATATCCAGCCTGTGAGATAGGTAATTGGAACTTACCATCATTTGTTGGTTATTTGGAAAATATTGGTTCATCGAAGTCCAAATGTTTGCATATTTCATTTATTATTGTAATACTAAAAACCAGCATTCCTAATATCACCATGCATCTCATCAGAAAAGTGTTGGGAAGCTGTCAAGCTCACAGGGCATCTCAGTGGTGTCAGTGTAGAGGAGGGTGAGTCTGTCCACTCTTGGGAGAGCTTGGTTTTGGTCTTGTACCCCTGTGGGTTTACAGACAGACCCAGAAACACTGGCTATAAAAGATGGTCTGAAAAAGAGTAGTTAAGGTGGTCAGAGAGTGAAGGGCTTGACTTGGGACTAGAAAGATTGTGATATTTCAACTTGGAGAGGCAGAGAGTATCATACGATTCAAGTATTATAAATCTTGAAGAATATGAGTTGGTTGAATGTGGGCTTATTCATCAGCTCCCACAACTATCTGAGCCACTTAAAGCTTTTAAGAGGTAAATTCAGGGCTATTTAACCAGCAGAATTGAGAATTTAAAACTCTAAAGTACTCCTTGCCAAATGGCAGTACTCCTAGATGAGGTGAAGAGATGGGTATGAACAGGTTAGTCATAATCTTTTAGCAATGTTCTTTTTTTCCTTTTTAAATTAAAGTATAGTTGATGTACAATATTATATTAGTTTCAGATGTACAATCTAGTGATTCAACATTTATATGTCTTATGAAATTGCTTTTGGAGCAGGGATTATTGGACTTCTTGGGCCAAAGCCAGAGCAGTGGCTGCCATTTACTTTTTGGTTTCAAGCCTAGGTGTAGGAGTAATTAGATTTAAGAAAGAAAATCTTTTAATCCTGATTAAAAGGGATTTTATTGCTTCAGAAGATAAAGTCATTAAGCCTCCTTAACTGTTAATGAGATTACTTTAGCGCGTTTCTTGTGTAATTCTTAAATCTGCATCCAAAGGTACACTGTGGAGTGGCCTTAGGAAAACCACTTACACTTGGTCTAAATAAATTCCAGAGACCCAGTAGTGCGGTGTTACCCTTGCCTAACAGAAGCTACCTTAGTGTGAGCCCATTTATATCTTTGATTCTGGGAAGCTGAAGAAGTATAAAGTAATTATCCCCAAAGGCATAGAGTTAAATAGGACTTGAAAGAAATCACCTAGCTTGTAATCCTAGGATCTTTCTTATTTCTAAAGAGCTAACTTTCCAGTAATCTTTATGGCCAACTTATATTTCTTTGGCTGAAATTTTATTTTATTTCTTTTGTTAATCCTCACCTGAGGATAATTTTTCCGTTGATTTTTAGAGAGTGGAATGGCAGGGGTGGGGCATTGATGTGAAAGAGACACATTGATTGGTTGCCTCCTGCATGTGCCCGGACTAAGGCTGGGGATGAACCTGCAACCCAGGTACGTGCCCTTAACAGGGAATTGAACCCATGACCCTTTGGTGTGTGGGCCGATGCTGCAACCGCTCAGCCACACTGTCCAGGGCTCTTTTGCTGAAATTTAACCAGTATCTTATTTAAAATTTACCGGACACTTTATAACCCAACACCTTGGTTTTACTGGGAGTTTTTATAGACATACCATACACATAAATGTATTGAAATTAGGAGCAGTCTCTCCCTAGTGTCCAAAGAACAGTTATATTTATTGCTCAGGAATATTAAAATGAATGTGCAAATGGAAGTAAATCTGGCTTCTTCCATAGTGGGGAGGGAAGTCCGTTGAACCCTCACCAGCCAGGATTTTGCATGTCTAGACAAGAATTTTTCATTGCCATCAGTTATCTACAATTTACAGAGCTGTACCATCACTCAAAGGCAGTGAATTACTGGAATCCTGGAAGGGTAGTTCTAGAAAATGCATAATTTTGTAAAGCACAAAATTTCCCCTCTACTCAGTTATTCTTAGTATTGTGCTACAGGGAAAGTATGGGTTACTGTATGAAAACAGTCTCAAAACTTTGTTTTAATCATTTGCAGTATGATTCTTTCTAAAGTGTATTTTTACAGGATTTATGTTATCATTTTGAACTATGGCTTCAGTGTTTAAGGGTGCTAGATAAGTAAAGTGCAACCTCGGTTATTTGAACTATGGTTCAGATCACAGATAGATGTCAAGTCATGTGCTAGCAATGACTGGCTACTCTTTATTGAGTGAATTAATGTACATTACTAATGGTGACCTAGAGGTGAGGCTTAACTTATCTTCAGAGGTGTTATGAGGTGGATTGGTGGAGGAGGTGTCTTAGATTGTTAAAGGGGTCCTGATGGGAAACAGGCAAGACGTGTGAAGGGGAAAAAGGGACTCAAAATGGATATTCTCTGTTTTTAGAATCCAACTTTCCTAGAGGCTTCTGCTTTTATATTTGATTAATAGTCTTTATCTTAGTATTCTTTTGTGCCTTAGAAATTAGAATGGTGTCTTAGGAATTAGAAGGTGTCTTTTGGAAAGCAGTATCTTTCATGCTCTATCAAAAGCCTTTCTAGAGTATGGGGTTTGGGAAGAAACCTACAGTAACAAACTGGGAATGTCATGTTTCCATGTTTGTGTCTGAGGAAGGGAGAAGATAGAAAGGAAAGGCTTCCACAGTCTCCCGGCCCCGTGTATTCTTATGCTTGCCAGCTTTTTAATTTATTGCAAGTGATTCCCAAGGTGCCACTCGTGAGCGAACTGTACACTTTTTGATACTCATTGTTTGTTGGTTAGCAATGAATAACTTCTATAGTACTTGCTTCACTGAGAAGATCATTTCAATTTTAGGTAAAAAACATCAGAGTGAATTTCAGCTTCTGGTGGATCAGGCCAAAAAAGGATACAAGAGAACTGTTGAAATGTCAAAAGAAAAAGTAACAAAAAAAGAAGATGAATCTACAGAAAAGCTCTTCTCTGTCTGCATGGGTAAGAGACTTTAGTTAAAAACAGAAGTAATGTTGAATTTTACTATTCATTTTAATATAAAAGGAAAATTAAACCAAAGGAATTTACTTTGTACTTAGTAGATATTTGAAATGGGAAAAAGTATTTTTAGGCATATAGCAACTATTGAATGCAAATTAGATTTATAACTCTGGAAAAAATTACTGGGAGGATGTCCTGAGATAGTTCCTCAAAAACCTGTCTTCCTTTCAGTTAATGATAAATCAGAAGTTTCTTAGTTCCTTAAATTTGAAGATGTTTTCTAGGTATAGGATTTATTGCTGCAGATCCTACAAAGAATACATTATTTTTGTTACAGGTCTCTGGTATTTATTTTGGATGGAGCCTTCTGCTAAAATATCGAAAGCCAATAGCACATTTCTTAATTTTGACCCACTTGAAAATTTCAGATTAATATTGTATTTCTATTGTCCAGTAAACAAAACAGAATCACAATGGAGGAAAGTGCACAAGAAAATTCCTTATTTTTTCTTTATCGTGGTAAAATATATATGACATACAACTTATTTATTCATTTAAATTTTTAAAAATTGATTTTTAGAGTGAGGAATGGTGGGGATGGGGTGGGAAGAAAGAGAGAAACATCGATCAGTTGCCTCCAGACCATGCCCTAACCAGGAATCAAACCCACAACCTTTCGATATATGGGACAACACTCCAGCCAACTGAGCCACACTGGCCAGGGCAGCATAAGATTTATTATTTTAACCGCTCTTAAATGTACAGTTCACTGGCATTAAATATATTCACAATGTTGTGTAACCATCACCACTTTCTATACTCAAAACCTTTTCCTCATCTCCAGTGAGAACTCTGTAACCACAATAGTAACTCTCTCTTCCCCCAGCCCCTGGTAATTCTACTTTCTGTGTATATGAATTTGCTCTTCTAGGTACCTCATATGGGTGGAATCATATATTTCTTCTTCTGTGTCAGTTTATTTCACTAAGCATGATATTTTCAAGGTTCATCAAGTTGTAGCATATATCAAAATTTCAGTACTTTTTATGGCTGAATAATATTTCATTGTATGTATAGACCACGTTTTGTTTATCCATTCATCTATAGTGGGTTATTTCACCTTTTGGCATTTGTTTATAATACTGCTATAAACATTGGTTTTCAAGTATCTCTTTAAGTTTCTGCTTTCCATTCTCTTGGATATATACCTAGAAGTGGAGTTTCTGGTTCATATGGTAATTCTGTGTTTACCTTTTGAAAAACCACCGAACTGATTTCCACAGGGCTGCATCATTTGCATTCCCACCAGCAGAGCTTGGGGATTCCAGATTCCCTATAACCTCACCAACGTTTGTTTTTTCTACATAGCCATTGTGGTAGGTATGAAGTAGTATCTCATTTTGATTTTGATTTGCATTTTCCTAATGCTTAGTGATGTTGAGTATCTTTTCATATGGTTATTGGCCTTTTGTTTGTCTTCTTTGGAGAATGTTGAAGTCCTTTGTCCACGTTTCAGTTGGGTTTAGGATTTTTTGTTCTTGAGTTTTAGGAATTCTTTATACTGGATATTAATGCCTTATTATATATGTGATTTGCAAATGCTTGTAAACCTTTTCATGGTAGTCATTTTGCTTTCTCAATAGTAGTATCTTTTGATGCATATAAGGTGCTTGATTTTGATGAAATCCATTTTATCAATTTTTTCTTTTGTTGCCTGTACTTTTGGTGTTACATCCTTGATGTTGTTTCCAAATCAGTGTCATGAATATTTCCGTTATGTTTTTTCCTAAGAGTTTTATGGTTTTAGCTCTTACATTTAAGCTATGGTCCATTTTGAGTTAATTTTTATGTATGATGTAAGGTAATGGTTCAACTTTATTCTTTTGGATATAGATAATTCAGTTTTCTGAGCAGCATTTGTTAAAAGACTGTCCAAAAGACTATCCTTTCCCCATTGAATGCTCTTGACGTCTTTGTTGAAAATCAGTTGATCACATATGTGAGAGTTTATTTCTGTTTTAATTATTGTAGCTTTGTAATAGATTTTTAAGTTGATATAAGTCCTCCAGCTTTATTCTTCCTTTTTCAAAATTATTTTGGCTAGTTGGGTCCCTTGAGATTCCATGTGAATTTTAGGGTGGATTTTTCTATTTCTGCAAAAAGTCCCATGAGATTGCATCGAACCTATATTGATTGCTTTGGTTAGTTTTGACATCTTAACAATATTGTCTTCCAATCATGAATGCAAGATAATCATTCATTTATGTATCTCTTCTTTAATTTCTTTCAACAATGTTTTGTATCTTTTCACCTCCTTAGTTAGGTTTATTCCCAGGTATTATATTTGTCCTAAATTCTGGAGTCATTTAGTAGGTTGTTGCCTGAATATATACCTCATGGTCTTTTGAACAACTTGGATTTGTTCATGCGGTTGTTAAAGGATAGTCTTAGGAAGTAGTTTAGCTCCTGAGAAAATCTGGTTTACTGTCTCAGATTAGGAGGACATTTTTGTTTATTGGTTGAATCTCTTGAAAAGGATTAATTGCTTGTACTCAGGGGTTATGTATTACACAGGGTGGGGCAAAAGGAGGCTTACAGTTGTTAAGTATGTGAGTTTATTCTTTTATTATGATGTATTCATTATTGTATTCACCATGCAAACAACTGTAAACCTCCTTTTGCCTCACCTGTCTGTGTATTGCATATAAATACTGCTCTCTCTGGGGTTCACAGATGAGTGCTGCTGGTAGATTGCTGCGCATGAACGCGCATATCTGGGAGAGGTAGGGAGTGTGAGAGAGAGGAAGACAGACTCACAGACTGGTTGAAAGACTGAGCTTTGTATGACATCACACAAATGTATGTACTGTGTAATTTTCGCTCTTTAGAATCAACTTGCTCATTGAAATGACAATATAAATTTTAAAAGATGTGTCAAGTAAAACCTTCATTTATTTTGTTGCATGTGTTTGGGGAAGTTTGATGTCAGAGCCTCATATTTTGAGACTAATTTGAAATCTTCTAACATCTGTGGACAGATATGAAGGACAACTGACTGGCCATGTCCACAAATTGTTGTATGATGTTTGTCCCCAAGAGGGAACTTATCTAATATAAGCTTATAAAAGAGGGGAAGGTTGTAAAACAGGTGCCAAAATAAAAGCTAGTCTTAAGTTGAATAGGATTCTGTTCCCTGGTTTGCCAGTGTAATTGCATTTTACTGGCCAGTTGAGTGATAGAGTTGCCTGGGTTTACTGAGTTCACTGGGTGATTGATTCCTCTTCACATGACCCTGCGTGTGTCTTTACAAGAGGAGATCCTGGGTGTTGTCCTGGTCACTTCTTTCTTCCTTTTCTCAGGTAAACATTAGAGGGTAATGATTAGGCTTATTGAAAGCCACACAACATCAGGAACTTAGTTTTAGAAATTGTACTCGTGTAATATATGCTGTTCTCCAGTATAACAAAAACTTCTATAATTGTTTCTGGAAAAATCCTGACTATATATGGACTTTAACAGCTTTGGAGAAGAATTTGTCTTATTCTTGTCCCATAATTTTTCTCTCTTTAGCAAAGCCCTTACATTTCTCTTTGTTTTGTTAATCCTCATCGAGGATACTTTTTCCATTGATATTTAGAGAAAGAGGGAGGGAGGGAGAGAGAGAGAGAGAGAAACATCAACGTGAGAGAGACACATCCATTGGTTGCCTCCAGCACGCTCCCAGTAGGAGTGGGGATCGAACCTACCACCCAGGTATGTGCCCTTCCTTGACTGGGAATCGAACCCTAGACCCTTTGGTCTAACCCCCGAGCTACACTGGCCAGGGTGATGATTCTTTTCCATGTCCTTTGTTTAAGGTCGATTGCCTCTGTAAGCACACTGCGTGAGTGATGTGTGGAAACTGTGCCTCCCTGTGAAACTCATGAAAGGGGCTCTATCCTGTTAGCACTCATGAACTGACTCAGTTCCTAATCTAAAAGACGGCACAACTGAAATCCCAGCCAAGTTCTGAAACAGTTTGTGAGGGACAGTTCTGAGCACTGAAGATATTATTTCTGTACTCAAATCTGCAGATATTTGGTCATACCTGTATGTGACATTGTTGCAGCCTGTAACGTTAGCTGCAACAAGAGACTTCAGAAATGGTGAATATGACAAGGGGTGCATAGACATGTGACAAAAATATTGGATACGTCGGATTAGTTTTTCTTTGCCAAAGTGAATATTAGATTCATTGTAACAGATTTAGAAAAATGTCCAGATAGATTCACTCCATATAGTAATCAGTGACAAATATTGTGATCGTTTTATTAATTGAATCTTTAATCCCTTTTTGTTCTGCCTCTTATGTTTATCAGTGCTTTCTGACCTGTGAATATGCAGGAATTCTTTAGTAATACTATAAATAGAGGCCACATTAGAACTACAGGGTTCTCCCCACTCCTGTTTCAAGGGAAATTTTGTTTTTAAATTAATGAATCCAGAAATACATGGGGTGGACAATATAATTAGATGACACCATTGTAGTGTTGATTCTGATTCTCTGGCTGTCATTAGAGTTTTGGAATCAATGTTAAATAAACTTCTATTTTACTAAGTGCAAATAGCAATATTAAGTGTTGTGGAAATAAATACGCAGAGGTTGTAGGTTTTAAGGTACTCTTAAACGTTTCCTTTTTTTCTTCTTTTTTTCATTTTAGAACAAGAAGATGATAAAATGAAATTCTCAGCTGTGCCCTTGGTAATAAACCACCTCCCCCCGGAGAGACTGGAGCCCGATAGACCCGATGACTCTTCTAGTTGTACTGATATTCAGGAAGACGCTCTTTCTTCATCCGAATCCGATTCATTCCATAGGTAAGACACTCGTCTATTTCCTGTGCGTGCCAAGATGGATGCGCACAGATAATTAAAAAATAACTTTGAGGCATGATGCAGTACGTCAGTCTTCCATTTCCATCTCCTTTTACTGCTTGGTAACTTTCGCAATGATAGCAAGGCAGTGCGTGGGAAAGATTTTGCAGCAATCCTAGGGTGGCTTTGTTTTCTGCCCTGTAGCCTTTATATAGCTATTTTTCCTGCAGTGGAAATACTTCCAAGAGTAGGATAGGCAATGAAATTTTTTGCAAGACAGTGAATGAAGGAGATAAAGATAACTATACTAGACAATAGTGAGGACCAGAAAGGCAGTGCATAAGAGAGTAAAACAAAAACAAAAAGAATTTAATTGAGCAAGTAGAATCAGTAAGGAAACTTTAAAAATGAGAGATTTGGAGGTAAGTCATTTTCCAAATGATTTTTTAAAAGCTATTTTAAAAAGATGAATTTTAACGGAGGACATAGTGTTAGATCATGACATATATGCCATTTTATGTTCTGGTATTTCACGTTGTATGAGAAATACTATTCATGTTTCTACCTCATCTTAACAACTGTTTTTTCTTAATGGATGCAATGTTTTGTTGTATTTCTGTGCCATAGTTGACCAAACTCTTCAATTTCTGTTGGATAGCTGCATTTTCTCTAGTGTTCTCCTTACATACTAGTGCTGTGGTAAAGCTCTCCCTACATACTCTTTGATACTTGTTTAATATTAAAATTGTTAACAGTGCTCTAGAACAGCGACTTTCAACCATTTTCATCTCATGGCACACATAATCTAAGTGCTAAAATTCTGCGGCACACCAAAAAAATATATTTTTTGCCGATCTGACCAAAAAAAGTTGTAATGTAATTCATGCACACTGTACGGCTGTTGCTGTGTCAGCTGTTGTCATTTTTATGTTTGGCAGTCTAAGGCAAAAGAGGTCAGTGCCCCTGACTAAATAATCAGGTGTTACATGTTTTAAAAATTCTTGGAGTTGAAAATTACTGCTCTAGAATGATGGATTATGTCTAATCTGAATCATCAAATTAAGAAGAAATGTTTTATAAGAGGAGCATACCCAGGGACTCGATGCTTTCCTACGGGTCCTGGAAACAGTTTCCAATTGTTCAAAATCGAGTATTAGGAAGGGAAAATCTCTTCTCATCCCTAATGTTTCCAAGATCTAAAACATTATATATCAAGTGGGGTAAGGGAGAAACATGTGGTAGCCTGAGTGTTCTCCAGGAGGGTGGTAATGCTGCAGTTACTCTAGATGAGGATATTTTTGCTCATCCAGGGAGTAGTATGTATTTTTAAACACAAGTCTTATAGGGATGCCGGATAAAAATGGATGAATACCACGTCCCAGGAGAGTAAGAGTTAGTTTTTAACCATAGTCACGGGACGCCTGAATGTTTCGAATGCTGGGGTGAAACGGGACATTTTTATGAAGTTGGAGTGGGAACGGAGGAGAGTGAAAGGAGAAGCACATGGCAGCCAGGGAATTTTCTGCTGGGAAGTAGGATGAGCTTGTAGAAGGTCTTGCTTCAGACAGACTTATTGACATCATTGAACTGTGAGAGGATTATCAAACCATTAAAAAAATTTTTTTAATGTAAGCTTTTACATTTTATTTCACATTTTAATTCATTATGCTTACATATATGTTAATACACCCCCACACACATGATCAGTAGAACTACCTACTAATTGCAAATTGTTAACAGCTTTTAAAAAAAATATGTTTTTATTGATTTTTTTAGAGAGAGAGGAAGAGAGAGGGAGGGAGAGAGAGAAACATTGATAAGAGAGAAACATTGATCGGCTGCCTTCTGCATGCCCCCTTCTGGGCACCAATGGGAACTACCAAGGCAGAGATTCCAGCTGAAGAGAAGAACATGGTTTGGTTTTGCATATGCTTTATTAATACAAATGGGGTGTTGTAGGCTTTTGCCTGTATCTCTTGCCCAGGAGAATTCATGAGTATATGCAGGCATTCCAGAGCTCATTGCATCTCTGAGCACCTGCTTGCCAAGCACGCTGGCCTGTTGCTGCCAAGAAGGGAGAAGGTGAGGATGTCTGGGCTGTTGAAGTGATAGACAGTGTTGTGGGGGGAGAAAGGGACAGATTATCCAGAAAGCTCTGGGACAAATGGTCCACAAACTGGTGGGAGAAAATGTGCTTGTTGATTAGAAACAATTTACTTTTTTTCCTTGTGTGGTAATAACCAAAGTGCAAAGTAATTCATCGTCAAACTAAGTTTATCGACATACTAAATTAAAATATTGTACCCTTGGGCAGAAAATCTCAAGCACAGAACTACCCATAGTTCTTTGATGGTCAGTAATGTACTTTTATTACCCTGCTTTGTTTCTCCTTAACAGAGAAAAGAGCACTATTAGTGGACCGTGTGTATGTGGACATCCTCTCCCACCTCTGGGGTTCCTCTGCTGGGTGTGGCAAAATAAGCCTGCTGGGGCTTTTTGTTTGTTTGTTTGTTTGTTTGTTTTTTGAAAGTCATTAGAAGTTCCTTATTAATAGGTGACAGTATTGTGTGACTTTTGATTCTCCTTGGACATCTTTTAAAAAAAATAGCCAACCTTCTATTTGGCACATCTAAATGTGTTGTTTTTTTTTACATAGAATTGCTTCCTTATGCTTAAGAATTAGAAAATAGTATTTTGAAGTGTACTTACCTGTAGTGTTTGATTTGTACTGATGTGTGGACCTTAAATATTTCTCTAATATATATTTGCTAAAGTTTCTCAGTGACTTATTTCAGATGACTTTTCTCTCTTCCTACACATGTATAGCGTAGCATAATTTTGTCTGTCACGTTAGTTATGTGTCCAGTCTGGCACATATGAATCAGGTTTCTCCCTGTTGCAGTGGGAGATTATAGGCAAGGCTGAAACTGTCTGTATGGTACTAGATTGGAGACCTTCATATGAACTGATGTTTAGCTTAATAGAGATTCAGATGGATACATATAGAGATATTGATAGACCTGTGTGTATGAGTTAGCTAGTGTACACACATGTAGTTCCTTACTCCATCAGCTGCCAGGGCCAAGCAGCAAGGGCTCCACAGTTGCACGAGCACACCTGGTGCACTGATCTTGGCTCCTGACAGCTTTCTCCAGTATAAGGAGCCAGCACTTCTTGAAGAAATGGCTGATTCCATGGCTGGGGCAGGAAGTAAGGAAGTTCTAGAAAAAGTAAGAGAGACAGAGAGGGAGGGGAGAAGAGAAGGGAAGGGAAGTAAAAAGAGGAGAGAACAAAACCTGACAGCCACTATCTCAGCCAGGAGATAACTTCAACAGCAATGTTATGTTGTTGATGGCATGTTTTCTTTTTTTTTCTTTTTTAAATATGTTTTTTATTGATTTCAGGGAGAGGAAGGGAGAGGAAGAGAGAGAGATAGGAACATCAGTGATAAGACTTAAGAGTCATTGATTGGCTGCCTCCTGCACGCTCCCTGCTGGGGATGGAGCCTGCAACCTGGGCATGTGCCCTGACTGGGAATCGAACCAGTGATCTCCAGGTTCTTGGTTGAAGATCAACCACTGAGCCAGCCAGCCGGACTGATGGCATGTTTTCTTGATATTCTGGGATGGGAATGGCATTCTCCCTTTGTGGTTTTCCTCCCCCAAACTCAATAACCTCAGTCAAATTGTGAGAAAAACATCACACTCCCAGAGGGTCATTCTATAAAATATCTGACAAGCACTTCTCAAAACTGTCAGGATCATCAAAAACAAGGAATGTCTGAGAAGCTGTCACAGTCTAGAGGAGCCTAAGGAGATATGACAACTGAATGTACTGTATCCTGAATGGGATCCTGAGACAGAAAAAGGACATTAAGTAAATACTGAAGAAATGATAATAATGTATTACTGTTGCTTCATAGGTTGTAACTAATGTGTCAGACGTTAGTTTGATGAAGGATGTTAACAGTGGAAGAAACTGGGTGTGGGGCATATGGGTACTTTCTGTAATATCTTTGCCACTTTTCTGTAGTTTTATTTTAAAATAAAAAGTTTAATTTTAAAAAAGTATACTACAACATCAAAATAAAGAGGGATATTAGTGTGAAAATATTTAAAGAATGTGTTGAATGTTGGAAAGCAAAGTCATCAAAATGTTATTTTCTTAGGTAGTAAATTAGACACTGTTTCTGGGTTGTAGTAAGTTTAGTTATTAAATACTCCTTTTTCCTTTTATTTAATATTAGATGTTACATTTAGTCACATAGATTAACCACTAAACCCTGTTTTAATGCATTCTACAAGATGCATTATCTTATATATGTTAAAATTTAATCCAAAAATGTAGCATGAGAGAATTCTGTTTTCCTCCCTCTTTTCTTATTTTTTTAAAAATCAGTTTTGCTTTCTTTGCTAATATTTTTACTTTATAGAATGATTTCACCTCAGAGGATATGACCCAGCCTTTAAAATATACTTCATCCTCTTCAGCTAGCATGTTTTTATTAGTGAATATATACTTGCAAAAGTACTTTGAATAGTGAATCCTCCAAGAGCAATGCAAAAGCACAAGTAGTTTTATCTTTTCTCCAGTACTCATTGCCAAAGGATGTTTGCTGTTAATTAATAAGGTTTTCTTTTACTCTTTTACTCTTGGGCAGCTCATGTTGGCACCTTTGGGTTTTCTTTTTATGACTTAGGTAATGTGATGATCTTTATAAAAGCTTTTTATTGGTGTTTTATAAATCTTGATTTTTCTATACTCTGAGTCAGTCCTAGGTGGCAAATATTTTTGTTTTTACCAAGTTGATGAACTGCCCATGATGTAAAAAGATCCTCTGTACAATTACTGTGAGCCCTTCAATTTTCTATATCAGGAAAGAGTTTTAAAATTTCACAGTGGGTTGTTATCTGTGTCTCTAAAGTGCCTGTAGAATCTGGAAATTCCTTCCAGGGTCCACACTTACCAAATGGTATCTTTGTGTCGTGGTTCGTAGCAGTGTC